AGCGGATGCAAAAAAATAAGAATAAAAATAAAAATAAATAAAAATAAAAATAAATAATCCCTCCGTGGACTTCGTGCCAACGGAAGCCAAAAGAAAAGAAAATAACAACAAAAAAAAAAAAAGTGAAGAGAAAAGAAGTGAAGAAAAGGCTGTGAAAAAAAAAAATAAATAAATAAATGGAACAATAAAATTAATACAAATAAAATCAAAGAAAAGAAATCCACAAAAAAAAAAAAAAAAGAAAACAATGGCGAGAACAAATAATAATAATAATAATAATAAAGAAAAGTAAAAAAGCAATAATAATAATAATGATAATAACAACAGTATCCATAGCGATAATCATAATAAATAAATATAAATAAATAAATAAATAAATAAAACAGCAACAAAAAAATATATATATATTTATATCACGTAAATACATATAAATGTATTCCATACATGTATGCATCGAAGAAACAGAAAAAAAAAAAAAAAAAAAGATGCGCTTGTGCAGAAACACACACACACACACACACAGAGAGAGAGAGAGAGAAACAGACGCTCTCATTTTGAATCCCGTTTTTTGTTTTTTTCTTCTGAGAGCCGATGAGTAAATTTTTTTTTATTTTTTTTTTTTTTAAAAGAAGGGATTCAAACATATTCGCATGCAACCAAAACAAACAAACAACCAAAAAAAAAAGGCAAAAAAAGAAAAGACCGACTGCAGAAACGAAGATGTAATATTTGGAAGAAGAAGAAGAAGAAGAAGAAAAAAAAAAAGAAAGTGAAACCATTGGCAGCACCTGATAGCACTAAATAGAACTTTTAACAGTCGGTGATTATTAACAAACCGTAGAAGTCGTCATCACCTCCACACACACACACACACACACACACCACCAACAACAACAATAGACACCACCACCAATAAATATAATAAAGATAATAATAAATGATGACAACAGCAGTAAAAATAAATCCTAAAAAGAAAAGAAAAAAGAAAAAAAAAAAAAAACAGAAAAGAAAAGTAAACACGTTCATGTTTTTTTCCGGTTTTGTCTCCTCCTCCCCCTCCTCCTTCTTGTACCCATTCATCAAAAGCAAACACACACAGAAACAAACAACAACAAAAAAAAAAGAAAGAAAGAAAGTCCAATGGTGTGGTTGCAGTACATATATTACTGCAAGCATGCATGTGTTGTCAAAAAAAAAAAAAAAACGGTAATGGAACAAAAAAAGAAAAAAAAAGAAATTAATCGGTCACTTAATTCATAAATCACTGCCCTTCCCTCCTTCCCTCATCCCTCTCTCTCTGCCTTCGCTCGCTCCCTCGCTGCGTTTTGTGCGTGTGCGTCGTTCTCAACAGAAGAATAAAAATAAACGGAATAACGTGAGCAAAGTAAATAAGCAAATAAAACAAAACCACAAGCACGCATAAACACTCCCACAATAAACACAAATATGTATTTATAATGGTTCTAAAGAGAAATAAACAAGCAAGCGATTACTCCCGTCTCCGTTTTCATTGGTTGCTGTTGATTTTCATGTTTGTTTTATTTTTTTTCTTTTTTCCCTTTTTTTAATGGGCCTCCTCCCTCCCCCCGTTGCAGCCTTTTCCCCCCCCCAATAAACTTTTCTTTTTGTGTTTGCCCCTCTTCGGCACCCCGCACGCATCCTCTTTTTTTTTTTTTTTTCCTCTGCTGTTGCTGTTTTTCTCCCCACCATCAGCCCGCTACCCCCCTCTCAGGGGCGTCCAATGTAACCTCCCACAAGCTCTGAGGGAACAACGGATGCGCCCCCCGTTGAATTCCCGGCGGTTCCCATCGGCAATGGCAAGGCGGTGGCGGCGAGGGCAACGGTGGCAAGTGAGGAATTGGTGGAGCCTGTAACCTGCCCCATTCCTGCGGGGCTGTACGGCAGTGTGATAATGTAGGCGTTTGAAACATTTGAAAAAGGTGCAAATTGACCTTCCATGCCCGGAACTATACCGTACTCCGTGGGCTGCGCCGCGAAACCCGGGATGTTCCCCGCCGTTGCGACCGTGGCGTAAGACTGTGGTGTCGCCAGTGTGGCATGACCGAGAAACGAGGGGGACGATGTTAGACCTGCATGCTGTAGTGTCTGCGGGAGAGCGCCCCCTGCACAATTAGGAACCATGCCAACTGGGGGCCACTTGCCGTAATTTGGAACAGACATGAAGGCAGCGTTTTGAGGAGTGGCTACCGCCTCTACGATTCCGATGGGTGCCAAGACATTTGTTGAAGGCGTAACGAGTGATTCCGTGTTGACAGACGTCCGTCCGGAGGGTGACAGGGGCGGCATTCCGGGTGTTGTTGTGAGACCGTCCGCATTCGACATAGAGAATTGCAAAGAAGATCGTTTTTCACGTGTCAAACGGCAGGTCAATGTGCGTCCCTCAGCCACAAAACCATTCAGCGTCGCGACGCAAGCAGATGCCTGTTCTTCCGTTTCAAACAACACAAATCCATGACCACACGGAAGGCTCGTCGTCGCATCACGCACCACTTTGGCCCGTAGGACTCTTCCGCATGTGCCACACAACCCACGCAGTTTGTCCGTATTCCAGTGCAATGGCAGTCCCTGAATAAACACATTGCGGCTTTTACGTAATCCTGAGTAGGCATTTTGGTCAATTGTGTTGTTAGGTTGCCCATTCTGCGGCGGGGTGTAGGATGCCTCAAAAAATTCCGGATTGAAATGCCGTCCCGATTCAATTGGGCCCTCTTGCGGGGTGATAAAGCCGGTGGAGGGGGTCGCGTTGGTGGTGGTGCAGGGACTCCAAGAAATACTCTCAGCGTGGGCAAAAGCAGGCATCGCCTTTTCGTGTGCTAGGCGACACGCCAACACCCTCCCAGCCATGGAACAGTTATTAAGTGACTCCACACACAAGGCTGCTTGCTCCTCGGTCTCAAACATAACAAAACCGTATTCTCTGGATTTGTTCGTCGCCCCGTCGTGGACTACTTTGGCGGAGATGATCGTTCCAAAAGCGCTGCAGACACTCCGCAATTTGTCTGTATTCCAGTGTGCTGGAAGTTCACTGACATACACGTTGTTGCGCACCGTAAGCCGCATAGTGTCACCCGTCGCTGACGTTTGCTGAGAGTTTATTGCCATGTTCGTTGGTGTCGACTTCGGCGTGATCACCGTTGTTAAATTTGCCGTCACTGACGCCTCGGCCTCCGAGTTCTTCGCCGCGAAGGATGATTCAACGGAAGTTCTGGCATCCAGCGTCGTCATGGGAAGCGTCGAGGAGACGACGTCCGTCATCCATGCGCCCTCGTCGTAAGCGTTGCCGCCCCTCACGCCACTCGGCAGTCTCGGATCCGTCACGTTGCTCGTGATCGAGTGCAAAAAGGAGGTGGCGCAGGAATTGAGGGGGGGCGAGTGCGTGGCCTCCGCTTTGATCTCCCCGCCAATGAAGCCCTCCTCCGCACATTCCCTCTCATCGCCTATCACCCCCAATGCATCGGAGAATTCGTTCGTCTTGCCGAGAGAAACGGAGTTGAAGTTCTCCGTGTTGGTGTTCTGAATGTAATTATTGCCGCACCCGTCCCCCACGATGTTGCCAAAAAACAAATCCATCCCCTCTCAGTCTCCGTGCGCTTGCAAAAGTGATGACGTCCCAGCCGACAGCAAAGATGTGAGCAGAGCGTGCGCGCACAGGGGACGGAGAACCGACAAAAAAAAAAAAAAAAAAGAACACAAACAAAAACGAAACGAAATCAAAAAAAAAGAAGACGTTCCCCACCCCCCCTACTCCTTTTCTTTTCCTCTCACCCAACAAAATCAAACAATATGTGCCCACAAAAAAAAAAAAAAGAAAGGGAAAGGGATGCAAAAAGAGGACACAAACAAAAAAGGGGAGGAAAAAAAAAAACACTGCTACTTCTTTAGGATCAGAGTTCGGCAATCCCTCCAGTAACAGCAACAATGTGTGTGGTATTTGCGCAGGTTGGGCGGGCGTACACTATTATTATTTTATATGACTGCTTCCTTGCCTTGCTGGGCTTGTGGAGTCTTTCGTTTTAGTTTTTGGCGGGTGTAGATATGCACCTCTTTTTTTTTTTTTTTCCTTTTAAATCCCCAGCCTTCTTCTTCTGCCGCCGCTTAAGCGAAAATGTTTTTCTTCACCCTTTTTACTTCTCGTACACAGATTATATATATATATATATATATATATATAACAGATGTATGTTTATTTATTTATTTATTTATTTGATTCTCTTCCCTTGCAGGTGGGTCTTGAGGCTGTAAAAATTCCCTTCTCTCACTCTCTCTCCCTTTTCTTTTCTTCTTCAATGTCCTTCCAACAGATTTTTGGTCTAATTCCTTCCTTGCTGATTGGGGAGGGCGCAATTGAAATCACAAATACAAATATATATATATATGTGTATTTGTGTGTATGTATGGATATTCCTTTCGGCCTTTTTTTTTCCAGGTAATTTTCCTTTTTTTTTTTCTTTTGTTGTTGTTGTTGTTGTGCTTTCTTGGTTCGTTTTGCGTCCCTATACTTCCCTCACAAATGCAGCACCCCTCTAATCCTCTTCTTCCTCGGTGTTGTGTGGCTGTGTATTGTCAGTGTTCTGCTTGCAGGCCAAAAATATTCCCATTCTAAAGGTACACACACAAAAAAAAAAAAAAAGAGTGAAAGAGAAAGCGGAATGGAGTTTGTTGTCAAAACAAAAAATAAAAAAAAGGAATATCACACGCCCTCAATCATGCAGACAGGCAGAGAGAAAGAGAGAGAAAAAAGAAAAACAGAGAGACGCGCTCACTCCGTATTACTCCTTCACCCTTCAGTTTTGGGCACCAATAAACAAATATCGTCGTGTTGTCCTCATCTCCCATCGCATGGTGGGATATGTATACATGTAAGCTCACCAGCCACCGGGGAGCCCACACGTGGTGCCCTCAGCGCCCTCCACAACAATGTCCATCGCGGTCCATTGGAAACAATGATACTGTTGCTGTGCATGTACCAGACACGCGTAGGGCCAAGCCATTCCCTCCTCAGACCCTCACAAACTAAAAACAAAAAGTGGAATAATCCTCTGTGCCGCTGGCCAAATCCTAAATTTATCGATAATAGAAACTAAACAAGATAGAAATAAAAAAGGAAAGAATGGGATAAGAATGGGGATTCAACACAAACTCAAAGTGTAACACCAAGTAAGCTTAGATATATGTATTTATTTATTTAATTATTTATTACTCACGAGGTGGCAAACTTTGGGGTCCTGCAGCCACAAGACCACGCCACGAGTGGTGGGAATCAAAAAGGGGGTTGGGTGCGACAAAAATAAAAATAAAAATAAAAATTTATCCGGCCGCTTTCGGTCTCCCACCCCTCCTTTTAATAGTCGTGTTCTTCCCAAAGTTCATACGGTAGGAAAAATTCTCGTAAAGAAATGTCTATTCGTTTTGCCAGGATATATACATATTTATAAGCATGCATTAGGGTTAGCCAGCGCTGCTCGCAATCACTCACTTCACAAGCTCCCAATAAAAGCAAAAAAAAAAAAAAGGATTTCCGGCTAACTCCAACAATTAACTTCGCTCTCCCTATGAAGCTGCACTCCTCCGCTTCCGCCCGCTCACAGTAGTGCCACGGCTCCCACCACAAGAGCAAGCACCAAAGAAAGAAAGTAAGCGTTTCGCCAGGCTCTTCCGCTCCTTGTTGCCCCGATGTGATTGCTCGCAGGCCGCCTCAGCCCGAAAGATGGGGACAACAGCGGTGCCACTCAATTCCTCCGCAACCTGTGGCCCCAATGAAGTACTTGTGGGTTTATCACTTGATTTCGTCATTGCCAACCCTCTCCGGTCCAGCGGAAGCACCTCCCTTTGGGAATTATAAGGAATGTTCTCCTTTTTCCTCATCTCACTCTCCTCTTCCTTCTCCTTCTTCCTCTCCTTAATAATCCCCCTCTGCGCCTCAGATGCACTTTCTTCCCCCTCACTCAGCGCCGCAACCGAAAATTTCATGTTGGTAGAAAGAAGTGCAGATGAGGCGTAAGAATAAGCAGAGGCAGTCTGTCTTCCATCCTCCGTGGAGCTTTGGGAACCTAAGTACGAGGAAGAAAAAGAAAATTCATATGACGATGACGACGAAGAGGAAGATGATATAAAAAGATGGACATGCCTCGGCTTCAAAGAAGCAAACGAGCTTCGATGATTGTGCTGTTCCCCCATTTTTATGCCTGTTAAATTTGTTGCAAGTTGGGAAGGAGGCCCTACATCCACCGGGGCGTCTACCGGGTCGGCATCCTGTTCCACACAAACTGGAGACTGTTGCAGCCGTTGCTTGCCTCGTTCTTCTGCTTCCTCCTCCGTCTTGCTGAAGTGCTCCGCTGCTTCTGGCAAAAGAACATGCTGAGCAAATGGCCGCCAGATCGCTTCCCTAGTATTGCCATCCTTCGCATTTGCCTCCTCCTGCCGCTGCCGTTGGTGGTGTTGTCGTTCTTGGCACCGTCTTATTTGTCGCCTCATTCCGGGCAAATTAAACATCTCCATCTGCACCAAGACGGATGGAGGAGGCGGTAGCGAACGCCTAAACGGGCATTGCTGGCGCAAGGCCGCCGTAACGGGATGCACCCCGCCCCTCGCTGCCTCCTCCAATGCCGCCATATGCATCAAGCGCAATTCTGCCGCCTTTTCCTCCTCTACAATACACATGGCCGTCCTTGGCGACAAAAAAAGTCCACGAAATACACTTGTGCCCGGTGAATCCCAACAGCCCCATTCACCTGCGGCGTGAAGTACGGCAGTAGTAAGCTCCTCCGTCTGACGACGAAGCCCGCGAACGGTTGAAAGAAGCCTCAAGCCACGCTGTTCTTCTTCCGTCAAAAGCGTTTCAGATGAGTCACGACGCTGACTGGCAGATGTAGGATTTTCTTCCTCTTTTCGTCCACTTGCATGATGAATACAACTTTCATATATCATTGTCGGTGCTGTGGCAGAATCCATGACCAGGCTTGAATGAAACGTGACGGCCTCCTCATGTTCATGTGGTGATGATGATGCATGGACAAACTCCTCATTGACGCCACGGCACTCTCGTTTGGTGTTGTCGTCGTTATGACTCTTTTCATTTTCGCCCCCACTCCCTACCACCTTTTCTGTGGATTTGGCCCCTGCTGCTGACGGCAACTCCCCCGCAGCTTCTAGTGGGGTCTCCAACGTCGGAGCAGCTGCTGGCACGCTGAAAAGTGGTTTGCTATACATATTAGTTGACAAATAGCAACCAGAAGCAAACCTAGACTTCAAAAGTTTTAATGCAACCTGCACCCCGCTTTCCACTTTTGTGGGGTCACTGGCCTCCCCCTCGGCCTCCCTCCTGATGGAGAGAAACAGTGGGGGAAAACTCGAGCGTTTTGATGGGAGTGGTGCGGCGGTGTTCATTACCGGCTCCGTCGCTGCAAGCGTCCTCAACGGCCTCTTCATTATCTCGTTGTAGATCTGTCGCTGCAGATTCATCATGCACCCCAGTCGCGTTGTGTGAGAAATGAGCTGCGCAACCTCTGCGCGGTTCGCATCGCGCCTTCGGCGGTAGTCGTCCTCCCGCCTTGACATCTCCACGCGTTGTGAATTGTAACGCTGTCTATAGATATCGTGTGTCGGCACGTCACTCACATAGTGTTTTTGCTTCTCGCATGACGCTGTTGGCATCGCGGCAGGGCCGTCGGAGCCAAAAACCCTGCCGCTGTCGGCACCATCACCCGATGAACCCACCACTTGTGGAGCAGTGCTGCCTGCCTCCTCGCTGCCGGGCACTCCAAAAGACGACGCAACTGTCGGCGTTAAATCCACACCCGTCATTATTGGCGCTGAGCCACGCGGCGTGTTACGACAGTTAGAGTCAAAAAGGGTCCATGTTAGGAGGCTGTTTGTATCGGAATCTCCTACGACGTGACGATGGATGCTCGAGAGACCCGAGAAGGGCAGTGTGGCATGACGTGTTCCTTCCCGCCGCCCTCCACTTCCATTCGTTGCAGCGTTTGCCGCCGAAGAAGAACTACTTGTGCACGGCTGCTTCTGAGATGACTCCTGTGCAGTCATCCGCGGGGAGGCGCTCCACCTGTCACCCAAGCGACTTGACGAAAACTGGCTTTCATTCAGAGCAAAACGTCGCTTTGCGTCCCGCAGGCGATCAATTGCGGGCGTTGACCTCAATGGTGGCAACTCTTTGACCGCCATTGTCATTAACTTGAAATATAAGCGCAGTCTCCAATTATCCTCTTTCTAAATTTCCATTTATATCATACATACATGTAAGTACGTATGGATCTATAATATCTACGTATGTATGCCGGCGTTTCCTTGAAGTTTCCTGCAGACACCGCTTTAAGAGCGTCCACAAGTAACAACACCAAAACCTGCAAAAAGAAAAACACGCAAACTGAGGGAAATGTGTGAGTGTGGCGGGTGAAGGAAGAAATGCACGCATGGAAGGATAAATGCACATGCCCTGCAGAATTTTCTTCCCCCATCCCCTCCTTCTTTTTTTCCTTGTTTCCCCCCCCCTTTTTTTTTTTTTTTTACTTCCGGCATCCAAAAACTTAACACTTTGCCAACTCAAATTCCTCCAGATCGTAGTAGCAGCCAAGCAGCATCATCGTTGTACTCAGAATGATGCAGTAGTGCCAAAAACCGTGACTATTCCACGTGTAATCAATCTCCTCCCCCGATACCACGAAGCGCCCAAGCCACCGCCAACAGCGTGACGTGACAGTTGCTTCCGGTGACGATGATGATGCTGGCAATAACCGCGTGGCGCGACGCAGATGCTTCTCAGGAAAACGAAGTGCATTTATTACCGCGCCCAGGGCAAGAAAAAAAAAACTCATCGCATGGCAATGAACCGCCTGGTGGTACCCCTGCGACTGCACTTTGGGCAGCTCGACCCACAGGAGAATCAAAAGGCGAAGGACAGAATGAAATCCAATCGCCTTGAAACGACCAAAACTCCCACATGATGCGTTAAAAACTGCCCCGTAGAGTACAAACAAGGTTGACAAAAGAAGCGCCCCCATGCCAACATGGCAACTCCAGTTTTGACTGCACGCGTTGCCTCGGTAGACAAGACTCCACGAGGTGCCCGTGATGCATATGACAACACCAAAAACATCACAGCTCAGCAGGCGTCGATACAATGACTCTGAAGTTGTGCACGGCATAAAAAGATGGTACACCACACTGCAAATGAATATGAAAAAAAATACAAGACATGTACAACGAAATGTTGTCGTGGAACTTGCGCCAAGAAGATGTTCACTGCTACTGCCCAGCCAACGGCGGTCATGCGGCGTCAAAGAGACATCCGTGGCAGCTATCCCACTCGTACCAACGCCACGACCGCTAACGGTGGAAGTGGTGGATATCTCCATGGTTGGCGGAAAAAGAGCCAAGTACAACACAAAACACGCAGCAAGAGCATGTGACCAGACGTTAAACGACTCATTATGCCACTCAAAAAAGGAACGCAACGCGGCACGAACAGACATGCGGGGACGATAACCAGAAACAATGTGCGGATTGAACTGCAGCCATGGATCAACCTGCTGAACTGTTAATAGCTCATGCATTATATGCCCACAGGAAAAACGCTCAAAACCTTTCCCTTTTCCCTCCTTCTATCTCCTTCTCACTGTATTATCCACCGGGGCTATAATCCCTACAATTGCCAACAAAAGCAACACATGCATGTGCCGATAAGAAAGAAATTTTTATTTTTTTTAGTGCATTTCTGGTGCTCCAATTATCCCCGGGAGAGTACAATCACCCCATATCCACAGAGAGAGAGAGAGAGAGAAAAAGTTTCATTTATTGAAAATACAAAATTAAAAAATGTGAATTTGCCCAATGGTGTGACGACGCTGAGCACGGACGGCATCCACAGCCTCCTTATGTGCACGAACAAACCGTGCATGTACAGGAATGTCTTCCTCCACAGATGTGGCGGCATTCGACTGGTGACTACAGGAAACAATGGTTGTTGTGGGAAGACGCAGCACGTGCAAATACTGAAGACGAAGCTCCTTCTCACGCTCTAACACGTCACGTAATTTTTCCTCCACTGCCGTCTTCGCCATAATTGCCGCGCGTTTCTCCTCCTCGAGCAAATTTATTGCGGCAGTGGTGCGGGATGACTCGCGCTGACAATTTTCCGCCAACTCACGCAATTGCCGAAGAGCAAGAAGAGATTGCCACTCAGAGTCCTTCACCTCTTCACGGTGTCTCACCTCGTCCAGGATAAGTTGATGGAAAGTGTTATCCTCAAACTGGGTGTAACCCCGTGCAGCGCGCAGAAACTGCTCATGTCCGTTGCGGGTTTGCTCAGTCGACAGCGTTGCGGTTCGCCATGACCCCAGCAAAGTGTGGAGCATTGACCTTAACTCTGCCTCATGATCAAACAGACTTTGCCGGCATGTCAACTCTAATCGCTCCAACTCTAGCCTGTGCTCGTCCCTTGCCGCCGTCAGATACGATATAGCAGCCTTGTGTCTCTCCTCACCCTGCTTTATTCGCTCCTGTGCCGACGTGAAAGCGAGTTCCATCGAAATTTGACGTGTCTCAAGAAAATTGTTACGGTATAATTGCTCCTGTAAAAGTGTCGTCTTCTGCAGGAGCTCGTGCGACTGCCCTTCCCACTGCGCCCCACTCATCTCCGTGTTGTTGGCGGCATCCACAAGAACGGTTGGTATAGGCGACGTTGCACGTGTATTCTTCACGGGTGCCGTCCATGTGCCAATGGAGCGCTGCTGCGGTGAATATGCACGGCGGATCGTCTCTGCATGTGCGCTGTCCTCCGTCTGTGTCGCGACCGTTGACCGATTTGCCCCCGTCCCGGTGGGTGAGGCGGCATGCGGAAGAGGGGGAGGGGAAAGAGCAGCAGGCACGGCGTCAGAGCCCACGCGGCGGTCCGTCGGCCCTGCGGCTGCGGACGATAAAGGAGGAAGGTTGGAAAAACGTAGCAGCCGCGGAACTTCCATCAGAATATCCTCCTGGAATGTGTAAAAGGTGGTACAATCACGAGAGCGACTGCTCGCATGGCTCGGGGCGCTGTCCTGCGAGTAGTAGCAGGACGGGTACACGGAGCACGAACAACTGCGGGAAAAACAAGAGGAGCAAGAACAACATGACGGTGATGATGACGACTGCCCAACACCGCGGCAGCAGCTACAGCCACCATCGGACGCGCTCCAGCTTGTCCTCTCCGAGCAGCTGCAACTCGCCGTCAGCGCGGAGCAGGAAGAAGAGGCGCACGCCCTGCGCATTTCACCCGGTGATGTCACCGTCTTTCCCCCCGCCTCTCCGTGTGTGTGACTTTCTTCCTACTCCTCTCTTCCTCGCTCTCCCCTTCTCCGCCCTCCACGACAGAAACGGCAGCAGCACACGCAGAAAGAGAGAGAGAGAGAGAGAGAGAAAAACAAGAGACAAATAGTGAGCCCACACGGAAAAGCATCCATGCAGCCAGCAAGACGGCACAAACCGCCTTTAAACCAAAAACACATAAAAAAAAGGAAAAGACATGTGGCCCGCATGAACACCCGGAAAAAAAAAAAAAAAAAAAAACAAGAAAAAACAGAGAAGCAAAAAAAAAAAAAAGCGGCAAATTCAACATAAAGAAGCCAGTGGCACTTGATGCGTGGACGAAAACTCAGTGCCGTCACTCCCTCCCACCCCTCCCCTACAGACACAAACCCACAAGCCTCCACTAAAGAGAGAAAGAAATGTAAAAGGAAGAGCAGGCACCTTTTCGCAAAACCCTGCAGGACAAAAAAAAAGAAAAAAAAAAGGACAATAAGAAATCACGGAGAAGAAAATAACTGGCGATGGCTTCGCACACGCGTAGTTGCCGGTTTTTGTTTGTTTTGTTTTCTTTTCCTCCTTCTTCTCCCCCACCCCCACACAACTCCTTCAGATCGCACCATTCAAATATTACTCGCTGTGTGTAGTGCAGCACCAAGTAGGCTGTGTTTGTGTGTAAAGGCCATAAAATGTTTTTTTTTCCCCCTTTTTTTCCTTTTTTTCCTTTTTGATTTTTTTTTTTTTTTTTCCTTTAAATCCATCCATTTCTGTTTCATCTTATCCCTTCCTCTTTTTCCTTTTGTTATTGCCGCTTTCCTCCCATCAATGGCCATTCATTCCATGTTATTCTCTTCTTTCACCCCAACCAACCAACCAACCAAACTCCCCACATACACCCGCCTTCCACTTCCACAAATTCTCACAAAACAAAAGAAAAAAAAAAAGAAAAAAAAAAGATCCAAATACGCACGCAGACCGGTATAATACGATGTATACATGCAATATATATATATATATGGATAGATATACAAATAGATATATATATACATATAATTGGTTGTATTGCACTCATTTATAAATAGATGAATGCAGGCATGTGTGTGTTACAGGCACATCTCTTTGCTTTTGTGTTATATATTTATATTTATATATTTATATTTATATATATGTATTATATAACAAAAACGGATCTTTCAAAATGGATGCTGACTGTACTCACATACGTACATATATTTATATATATTTATATCTGCAATGACCAAAGAAATGGGGAGCAAAAAAAAACAACAACAAAAAAAGAAAAAAAAAAAAAAAAAGAATATTCACTTTACTTATATCCTTCTTCTTCTTCTTCTTCTAGAACAAATCATATACGTCAAGCACATAAATATATAAAAAAAAAAAAAAAAGGTGGCGGTGTGTGGAGGGAGGAGGGAGGAAGAGGAGGAGCGTCCCAAAAAAAAAAAAGAAAAAAAGAAAATAAATAAAAAAAAGAATGCATGCACTCAAAGACTTATTTATGTAAACAAAAGGAGAGAGCAGGAGGAGGAAGGAGGGGGAGAAGCCGCATAAAGCCGTAGGCAAACAAGTTTGAAAACAAGAGAAGTGGACAGTCAACCGCATCCAAATGCGTCCGTCCAAAAAGACACTCGTTACAGAGGACTTACAACATCACTTCTCCATGGAAAAAAAAGAAAAAAAAAGAAAAAAAAAGGAGCCGCACAGCATTACGCAAAGCAAAAAAAAAGAAGCAAAAAAAAAGAAGGAGATAAAAGTGCTGTGGGGACGTTTAAAACTATATTCCTCCACACACACACACACACACACACACACACACACAGTTACACATGCACAGACATAAACATATCAATTGTACCATTCCTCTTGTAGCCCACCATTGCTTACATGAACACATATACATACAACCATATCTATACGTATATATATATATATGGATAGATACTTGCGGAAGTGCATGGCCACGCAAAAGAAGAAAAAAAATAAATAAATAAATAAATAAACAATAAAAAACAAAAATAAAAATTCATGGAGGAGACGACACAAAAAGGGAGGGTGGGGAAAAGGATAAAAAATCCAAATTCGTATTGTTTACTTTTCATCATTTTCTTCTTTACTATTTATTTTCTTTTTTCTTCTTCTTCTCCCACTCCCCCGTATGTGTATGTGTGTGTTTTTTTTCTTTGTTTGTATTTTTTTTTTTTTTGCCGTCATGGCGAGTTCTTTTGGCTCATGTATCATTTGCGTACATCATCATCATCATCGTCATCGGGCTAATCCTCAAACATCATAAAGAGGGAGCCGCCACGCTTGCGGGACTCCATCACAGACCGCATGATGCTCTGCCGCTCCAGGGATCCCACGCCGTAGAGCTGCGTGGAAAGCTTGTCAACAATGTCGAGGGCATTAATACCTTTTGTGGCGGCGCCAAGTTCAAACTGCACGTCGGCTTGAATAAGAAAGACTGGGAATAAAAGCAGCGCGTTCTCTTCGTCGAAGCTCTTTCCCAAGAGGACGCGATCGTTGTAGTTGCAATTCCTTTGGGCGGCAAACTTCAAAGAACGTTTTTGTAGCTGTTTCTTCCGCTTTTCGTCCACCATGCCGCACTGAATCTCGAGGTTATAATTCGTGCCGGGCACAACACGGCGAATCTCATCATCAATCCATGTAATGTACCGCAGTGTAGGCGCCTGTTGTGGCGCGGGTACTTCACGGCATAGTGAACGTCGGTCATACACCATTTGGAGGTGCACCTTGATGGGGCATTCGTCGCGATCTGCCAACATATCGATTTCATTGACGCTCCTATTGCCCGTCGACCTATTGTTCTGCTCTTCAAATAATGTGTTGTTACGTGTCTTACCACTGGCAGTACTCACACGTTCATTTGTAATGGACGTCGTGGAGGATTCGGCATCCAATTCCTCCATAACGCCCTCAAGAAAAGAAAGCACAACACTGTTTGACAGGCTCCTCGCACGGCGCTTGGCAACGTTGTACAGCTCCTCCTGGATCTTTGCGCATGCCACCACAGCAGTGTCAAGCTCCTTCTTGTGTTTCTTTTCACTTTTTCCCTTTTTAAACCTTTCGGAGACGATGAAGACGGAGTTTGCCATGGCAGAGACCCACTGCATGCGTAGAAACTGTTCAAAACAATCAAGTATGGACTCCCGCTCAAGGTCAGACACCATCATAAAGCCTTGGTGTGCTCGACGATTCCCTCCCCCAGCGTTGTCAGCGCCTGCTTCAGCCGTCGACCCCCCCAGCGGGTTGGACGAATTGGCGGATTCCTCCGCTTTTGTCATGCGGGCGATCTGAAGAAATTTTAACATCACACGTGTGTGGGAGGAGAGAAAGTCCATGTGCGGCGTCGCCTCCTCGTATCGGCCTTCTGCCATGTAAGATTCCGCAATATCGGCACGCAGCACAAGATAATCCACGATGTCCGCCAGCCGGCTGTCCAACGGAATTTCAATCTTCCCAGAGCCGCCCACGCCAGCCGCCTCCCCCATCTCAACATTCACTTCATTTTCTTCCTTCATGGAGTCTTTTCTTACTTCTGGAAACGCGGCTTCTTCCTGCCCTCCATCCCGAGATGTTGTCTTCTGCTTTGCATCCGTTCCTTTTTGGCCAGCCTTGTCCCTCCTTTCCCACTCTATAAGATCATCAAGGCGGATCCAAAATGAATGGCCCTCGTGCCTCTCAATGGCCTGGTCGTAATAAATCTCAGCGTACGTGTAGCGTCCCTCCTGGAGGGACTTGTAGCCCTGTTGGAACAGCTGTGAGTGGCGGTTCTCCCCGACTGAGGCGCCGTTTCCCATTTTTTGTCTTTTCTTGTTGTTCCTGGGGATTATATTGTTTTTGTTTGTGTGTTTCCTTTCTTTAACTGCTACTACTTTAGCTCTTTTATTGTTTTGCCAATTCGGGGTAATGTCTGTATATATATATATATATATATATATAATTGGCTGAACTGTTTGCGCTCTTTCTCTTTCTCTCTCACTCTCTCTTTTCTTCTTTTGCCGGTTGATAACTTTATTGCTGTGTGATGTGTTGTTTCTTCCGTGGGAATAAAAGAGTGTGTTACGTCGTCCTGTGCTCGAGTGGTAGCGATGATGCCTCCGTCTCGTAAAGCTCAGCCGCCCTGCCTTTCTTTTTTTTTTTCTTTCCTTTTCGTTCAGGTCCCTTCTCTCCTCGCAAAAAATTTGTTCTTTTTTTTTTTTTTTTCTCGCAACCGCAGCTGCACCAGCAAAAATAAACAATGGCAATTAACGAAAAAAAAGAACGCACGCAAATAAAAAAGAAAAAAAAGACAAGGAGACAAAGAGAATTTTTGTGTGTATGTGTGCTTCCTTTGGCTTGCCTAGCCGTCACGTGCTCACGCAAAATCCCTAATCTTTGTGTGTGTGTGTGTGTATACAAGAGCCAGGAGGAGAGGAAAAAAAAAAAAGCATAAGTGTAATTCAACCAAGAGATAAAAGAAAAGGTAGAGACAGAACGTGCGTGGGAAACACGCCCTTCTTCTTGCGTATTCCCGTGATTTTACCAGCCGCCCTATTAAATATATACATATGTATATATTTCATTCTTTCTTTCTTCATCATCTTCTTCTCTCACGCTCGCCCCCTCGTCAATTCCTCCGTGAAATCGACCGCATTTCTATCCGGCACCGTGTGCCCCCCGACGCCCCACTCCCGCCTTACCGAAATCGCACCACCAGGCGCACACTCCGTTCTGCAATGCGCATCACCGAATTCAGTTTCTCCGCAGGGCATCCGTTCATCATCAGCAGGCGGTCATTGCGAAGTCTGAGCAGACGCTGTAGTTGCGTGGTGTGCTGCGCGTCAAGCGGGGTGATCTTTCCATCACCCGTCATCCACGCGGGATTGTAACGCATCCGCATCGCCGCACTCGCCAGGGGTCGAGTAAACGTCTCCACAGTGCCCAATTTTGAAGGGGAAATTGTCATGGCGTCCTTCTTTTTGTTCTCGCCGGCCGCAACCGCCTCCAGGAGGAACGGCCATGGAACACGTATCGATGGGCGCAGCAGCTGCAACTTCGCATCCGTCTCACGACATGGCAATGCGTCAACGGCGTTGAATTCCGCCCCCAATTCCCCTCCACAACAACGGAAGTGCCACGTTAACCCTGCCTGATTTTCCTGTTCCTCAGGCAATGGCTCTGCTCCTGCACGCGCCTGTTTTTGCTTCTTCTTCTTCTTCCGAACAGGCGGATCGGTTGATCCTTCGGCTGAAGATGCCTTCAACGATTCGCATGCATGCGTAGCGCCGTTGCGGTCCGCTGCCTTCTCCAGTTTTGATGGCTTCCATGACATCACCGCATGCAACACTGGATCGTGTTCCAGCGGATCCTCCGACCCTGTGGCCGGTGCCGACAAACTTGAGGCCGCGGTAGAAAGAGGAACAGACGAAGCACCGACTCCATCGACTGCCGCCCTCTCTGTGGTCGTGTTGGCTTTAGCCGCCTGAGAGAGTGCGGCAAAGACGGACTTGAGGCTGCAATGCGGTGCATCATCGAGATTTGAATTAGCATGCTGCCTTTGCTCTGGCTTAAGAGCCAACACACGAAACTGAGTGACAAATCGCTTGCGATGCTGACTCGTCTCCAGTGCACGAGACCCAGCAGCTATGGCCAACGCACACAATTCATGCGCCAGCGACGATGGTGATGACGAGGGCAAGAACGCTGTCGTCACGCCACCGGGCTGTTGTTTGCCAAACGCCGCGTAACGTCGCACAAGAATCTCAAACTGCAGAATTAACACCAACGCCATTCGTACACGCGTCATTTCCAAAAGAAGCAAATTTAACTGCCGTGCAAACCCGTCAGGCGACGACACACCAGCGCCTACTCTCACCCTCGCGTTGGCTCTCTTCTGCTCTATTGGCTTCAATTCAGACGTCCCCTCCTTTAGCAACGCTGCGAGACGCGGAGACGACGTCGTGTAGACAAAATGATGTTCACCCAAAAATGACAGTGGCTGTTGGTTTAACCATGACATGCACACCGAAGAAGTCGCAGCGGAAGAAGAAAAGACAAGAGCCTCCTGTGCCGAGCTCAAAACATCCGATGGAATGCTAAATAGCCTCCGCACCTCCGCCTCCTCCACACCAATATCAGCCAACAGAGCGGCTCCGTTCAAGCACAGAGTCGCGGCGTTCCGCATGATGCATTTGTGTTCCTTGTCCACAACCTTCCAGAGAAAGGAGCGTAATCCCCTCTGTATGGCGGCATCTTGTATGACCTCCAGCAAGTGTTCCGACGCCACACGTGCCGACCAGGGAAATTTGATCTGAGAGGAGGCTGCGACCTCCTCAAGTGTTGCCGCGTGTTCCAAAGTAGCATCGCCCAAAGCGCCTGAGGTAACGTCCGTCGTCGCGGCGGAGGGAAAAGATGGAGGAAAAACAGAAGAAGCAGCGTCGTAAGGCTGATCAATTCGACTGTAACGAAGTGCATGTCGCACACACGCCGTAAGAACTGTGTGCAAAACAAGGCATGCCTGCGTGGGGCCATTTAAGGTGCCCGTGCGTCCAGCCTGTTGCTCCACAAACGATGCCACGCCCGAAGCCACGCGTTGCGGAGTTGACCGCTGCGATTGAATAAGGGAGTCACCACTCTTGGCGTCCCTGCCGTCGCCTACCCCTGTGTTCCGTAATCCGTCCCCAATTGATTGAACCGATTCACGGTTGCCGCCGGGCATCTGACGGTGACCAACCGCGGCAAGTAACTCATCCACCGGGGGCGCAGAATCCGTCGATGATGATGGTGCCACATGCGGTCCGTCGAAGTGTGCCTCTGAGATCGCTCCCGTGCACGCCCTTGACTCCGATGCATTTTTACTTGGCAGACCACGTCGCTTGAGGTGGTTGTCGACCCATGCCAGGGTCAGGAGTGGTCCCGACATGAATGCACTGAGTGCATAGGAAAAGAAATAGAAATAAAAAAAAAAAAAAAGACACAGTCCGCATGAACTGAAAAAGTATCGACAAAAACAACATATATATATATATATATATATATATATAGAGAGAGAGAGAGAGGGAGAGGGGGAAGGGAGTTGTTTTGCAATGCGTCCACACCAACTTTTAAAAAAAGAGAAAATGTGGCAGTGGTATTTTGTTCTTCTTGTTGTTTTTATAAAAACCAATAAACAATTTTTTTTTAAAAAGCAGCCCATACACGCACAAAAAAAAAAAAAAAAAAAACAAATGCGGCTCTGATGAAAGCATTTGACCAGTTTTCCTTTTTTATTTTTTCTTGGTGTCCCCCTGTGTATCTGTGGATATTTATGGTACCTCTCGGTATCTGTGGCGGATGTGAACAGATCCGTGCCTCTTCACTGTTCACTTTGTTTTTTTGTTGCATCCTTTTTTTTTTTTTTCTTTCCCCCTCTCTTTGGGAATTTGGTTGTGATGTCCGCACAACACCAATCTATTCGTGACATCACCACCTTCTATGAAATTTAATCTGCATGTGAAGGGCATGCTTCATGATATCCATCACCTCCGGCAAACGTGCGGCGGGAGTACCATTGACGCTCATGATGCTCCAGCCGCCTTTATGGGACGTGAACAGCTTGTGAAACGGATGCTGCAGCTGTTGTGGATCCATGACAAGGGGTAAACCAACCACCCGGATCGCTCGGCTCGCGTCTTGTCCCACCCGCTCCATTGACAGACCCCATTTTTTCTCGGCAGACTGACGACTGAGAAACATCTCATCTAGAGTGAGCAGATTTAACGTCACATCGTTTGGGAACTTGAGTGGGCCGGCGGTGACAGCTGCAGCGCCGGAGAGCTCCAAAGGCGGCTGTTGCTTTTGCTGTTCCCTCTCCTCCGACTGTGACGACAATGGTGGCGGAGATGCTTCATTAGCCTCCGCCTTTGGCACGCGCTCCCCCGGCCCATCAGCATCCAAGGAGGGGGTGAAATCGTCACACAACACCGCGGCGACGGGTGTGCTTTTGACTACATGATTCCCCGTGCAATGACCTCTAGCAGGAGTATCGGCACTGTCAGTCGCCTCTTCCTTTGCATCTGGAACATACAGCTCCTTCTTCGTTTTTAAATACCCCGAAAAGATGGGCACAAGTGGCTGCTCTGAAAGAGTGGAGCGATCAACGTCACGCAAGATTGTTTCCTCCAGTGCCTTCCGCAAATTCACCCCACTCGTTCCCGCTCCCTTTTGCGCCTCATTTCCTAAGGGACGTGACGGGATGGCGCACTCCTGCTCCTGCGCAGAAGACGCCACAGTTGCGTTTGACACTATTTCTCGTGGTGGATCCATGGGACTCTCGTGTCCAATAATAGTTTTCTCTTTTTTATCCCGCAACTTGGGATTAGGCCTCGATTGCCTGTCTTCTACTCTGGCCAAAAGCGGATTCCTCGTGGAAGCCACAACTGCCTCGCTGGGGGCAGCCTGCGGGTGTCTGCCACAGCTCTCGAGGATGGCAACATCTTCAGAACCTGGCCTCCCGCTACCACACTGCTCCTCCGTCTCACTGCTGTTTACTTGCGACGCTGCCGGTGGCGCTCGCTCTTCCTGCTGATCCACATCTTGTGGTGTCAACAGCGATGAGGACGGTGGGATAATCTGCAGGTCAAGCACAATCGTGTTGACCGTGGAACTCAACGCCTCCACTTGGGCTGCACTCACCATCTCCACTCCGTTTATCCCAAAGATGCGTACTCGTGTGGGATAACGCGCAAAAAAAGCCTTTGCCTCTGGTGAGAGAATACCAGAAGGGACACTCATGACAACAAGTTTGCGCGTGATGGCCAAATCCCACGAGACGCTAAAATTATCACGGTGAAGAACCAACGTTGCAGCGGGCAAATTCTGAGACTCCTGCTGCTGCTGTAGCTGTGACGCTTCTGTCTGAGTGGAATAAAAGGCCAACTGTTCCACAGTCGGTATACTATCGGAGACAGGCTGTACTTTTATGAACAGGCGTTTCTGCGTTGGTGTTAGTGCATCTAACTTCTCGGCCGCCTGTGTGCTGTCCAGATTATTGAAATCCGTCTTCTTTAAATTGCATGCAATAGGCGAAAGCCCGCCCTTGCTTGCTTGCATGAACTGATGCAGTTTATCCCCCACAACGGTTGCCGACCGCACCACCGCACTCAATCCCACCAATTTCCCGCTTTGATTGAATCGTAGCCCCCAATGGGAGTTTTTACCGGGGCGAAGCAGTGTGAACTGCATTTTCTTTGGTTCAAACGACTGCACCCATGCGCCAGGTTTAGTCCTTGACGTAATCTCCGTCTCCAGCACCCAGTCCCCCAGCTGGTAATACTGTTCGTATGCCAACGGCAACAGTGCAACAGGGACGTGTGAGGAGCCCATGGCCCGTGCGCACGGGAAAGTCACAAGAAGACGACGATAAAGGGCCTCAAAGTCGTCTAAGAGCATCGTCGTTACTCGCAATGCCTGTAGTTCATTGGGTGTATGAGGAAATGCATCCCAATTGACCCCACCCACCAACTCCTCCTTCACCTGTTGACGCAGCCTTGCAATAGCCAACTCGATACGCAACTGTACACTCGGACAGGTGAGTACATGTAGCCCCTCCATAATCATCGTGCCGGACACAGATCGATTCATGATGGCCGTATTCCAATCGTAAAGAGGGAGACTGCCCTCAGAAGAAAAGGCATCCACCGTCCGAGCGGCGGAATTGCCGTTTTTATTCAGGGCCGCCGGATCGATCTTTGAAGAGGGAGATTTCTGGGGTGATGCACATGTCGCCCCCATCTCATAATAATGCGCTACAGGCAAAGGAGAAAAAGCCAAACGAACATCATTGGCCAGCGCCAACAATGCTCCACGCGGCGTGACATCCTCATCTACTGGCAGATCTGCACGAGCCGTAAGACTGTCCATAACCTCCGCTACCCGACGTGCCAGGCGTAGTGAGTACGGATCTCTCTCTGAATGTGAATGCCGGTAAAAAGGAGAGGAGCGAAGTACACACAAATAATTGTTAAGATCTGTCCATTGCCGTAATCGTTCCCAAGTTGCAAGAGCATCCTCAAGGAACTCCTGCGGTACACGCAGTGGCATACCCCTCCTCTCTTCCCTTGCGTTTTATTTATATCCCTCCTTCTTTATTTTCTATATATCCGTGCGTATGTCTGTAAACAGATTTGATGTAGACACGTAATGGTTTCCGAAAGTTACGTGCAGGCCGTGTGTATATGACGATTGGAAGGGGTTTTTTTAAAAAATAAAAAAATGAATTGAAAATCACGGGGGAAGGGAAAAAAAAATACAACTCAACGCAAAAAAAATCCCTTTTTACCTTCTTTTGATATAAATGTATGTGTGAAATGTGTGAAATGTGTGGCCCTCGTCACTCCTATTTGTGCTGTCAGGACCCGAAGGAAAGACAACAAGACAAAATAAAGGAATAAAAAAAAAAGGAATAAAAATAAAACCATTGAGTAAATGTCAAATGTTTTTTTTTTTTTTGGTTTTTGGTTTTTCCAGCAGTCAAAAAATTTATAAATATATACATATATTCGGGAAGCACGAGCTTTGCAGTCAGTCAACAATAAAGGGGGAAAAAAAAAAAAAAAAAAAAACCCATAGATAACTTCGTAACAAAACAACACGGAGATACCTCAGATCCGCATGCATGTATGAAACGCATAGAGCACTGGCAATAATGCCCCTATGAAGTGCATCCCTGTAGACCAATCGGAATAAACATACAGAAAAAAAAAAAAAAAAAAAGAGAGAGAGAGAGAGAGGGAAAAAAGTACTGTTGAACAAGTACATGCACCTCGTATATACGTATACATATATATATACACATTCATGTAAGAATGCAAACACGCAAACTTTTTTCATTGTAAATGTACATATGTAAGCTTTTGTTGTTCTTGTTTATTTTATTTTCTGTGGGTGGGTGAGTAAAAATAGTAAACATCGTGGAATTCACACATAAAACCACAAACAAATCGTCAAGCAAAAAAAAAGAAGAAAAAAATATATTTTTTTTTTTTTTGACAGGGATAAGGAGGAGAGAATGTGTGCTCGACTTGGCAAGAATAAAATAAAAGCCCTGTGCACCAACAACTACATGCGAGCATATGTATATGTGTGCATGCATCAGGCTGAGGCCTTGTCCTCATATCCCCACCGAGAGTAAGAGGACACAACAATAAAGAGAGACGACAGCTCTTGGCTCCATGCGCCCAACACCCCACACACACACAAACACACACACAGGCTCGTCGAAAACCATCCACCCCAGAGTAATACATCATGAAAAAACAAAGAAATCCATGAGAATTATATTACGACAAGAGGTTCCTTTTTGCCACGTGCCTTCTCGAATAAATCCGAAAACCTGCACGCCGCCCATCATCGCAGAGCGCGTCCGCCCTACTCGGTGGGGATGTGAAGGAAAGCCCCGGCCCCCCGAAGATGGAGCTGCAGCGGAGGTCGTGAAACACACACATTTGTTTCGCATCTGCGAGGGGCATTGTGCCTTCTCGCCGCGCAGAGGTACTGTTGGGAGGGAAAAGAGTCCTTTCCGCCTCTCCGGTGATAGCTGGACTTGCTGTGGGCCCACGAGGAGGCGGTCTTTTAAAGGCCACCCGCAGTCGCCGGAATCCCCCCTGCGTGGAAGCCGGTAGGGGCTGAGCGCAACAAAAAAAAAATGACTGCTGTCGTGCCGCACTCCAACGCGATATCATCTTCGTTGGCCCCCATCTAATCGTAAATCCACACACACATGCTCCCAAGAAGAAAAAAAAAAAAAAAACGCCTTTGAAAAGGTTATTTGCGTGTTTTTTGAGTCAAAAAACATCCGCGCCGCCCCAGCTGCTCCAAAATCCTTGGAGGCATCACAGCCGCGCCAGTCGCGGAATGGCATCCAGGTCAACGTTACCGCCTGTCAGTACAATGCCAACGCGCCTGTAACGCGACAATGCCTCCGGACGCGTCAAAACGGCAGCCACGGCCGTCGCGGCATTGTCGTCAATCACCAGCTTGCAGCGTTCATAAACAAAGCGAAAGGCGTGACGTTTTTGCTCTTCCGTGACTTTTATCACACCGTCCACGTGGCGATTGATACATTGCGCGACTAATTCGTTTAATGGCACGAGAATTTTCTGCGCCACACCACCAGCGTCATTTTCTTCCTTCTTGCTGTCCTTTACATCGGTGGATCCCTTCTTGTTGACAGCAATGACAGGCCCGTTCTCGAACTCACACTCGGGATCTGGTGTTTCACATTCTGCAGCGTAGACGGCTATGTTCGGCTTCATACCTTTCACAGCGAGGGCTACACCCGCCAACAGGGCGCCTCCCATCGCCGGCACCACCACCAAATCTAAGCGTCCATCCGTCTGCAGCATAAGCTCCACCCCCACCGTTCCATGGCCCGCAACAAGCCACTCATCTTGTGGGTGTACAAAGACACAGCTGTTTACACCATTCCTTTGGCTGGTGTTATTATTTTCACTTACAAGCGCTTGTACGAGCTTCATCTGCTCTTTCCGTGAGGCGCCACAGCGATAGGCCTTACCATCATAATGTGCAATAGCCTTCGCAGTAACCTCATTTGTGCGCTCGGGAATCACAATATGCCCCTTGGCAGAAAATAAGCTGGCGGAAAGAGCGACAGCAAGCCCAAGGTTGCCTGTGCTCTGTGCCACAAAGTGATTGATACCAAGGTCCCCCTGTTTACTGCGAATCACATAGTTCATTCCCCCACGAATGGTGTAGCTTCCCGTACGCTGCAGATTCTCGCATTTTAACACAACCTCCTCGTGTCCTGAACTTTGGCGCATTGAATTGCTCAAGAGGATGGGTGTCTCACGGACGTAGGGCCGTGTTGCCTTGTATGCCATCATAACAGTATTAAATGTAGACATATTTATAATATGCTTTGCTATAAAGACACGTTCAAAGATGTACAAATACAAATATGTATGTATTATTTTCTCCTAGTGGGGTGATGCTGTCCTTCTTGGGCTTGTTCGAATAAACTTGATTTGTTGTTGTTGTTTTTTTTTCAATCCTCAACCTTTTCAACAATGCTGTTATTTTTCCTCTCTTCCAGCTGTCTTTTCGTTGTTGTTGCACGCGCTGTTCGTTTCTTGACGCTTTTAACGATGGTGTTCTCCTATTTGATCCTCCCTTCTCATAAAACCCAAACAAATAGAAATGACGAGACTCTGAAAGGAATGAAAATGCTAAAGATAAAAGTGGTGCAAAATACATATATTCATTTATTTATTTTATTTATGCTTTTCTTTATTGCCCCCAACATGTGGTGTCAAAGAGGCACATACAGAGAGTAAGAGACCTCACAAGGTCCGCCACCTCAACGACACACAGTACTCGTACTCCCTGTTTCGGCATGTCCTTGACACACGAGATGCGAGACCAAAGAGGTGGGTCAATGGATGGGCGTCGTGTGACGGCTGCCGGGACTCATCACATGTAGTGCTGGTACGTCTGCGCCGCCTGCCGCAGCACCAACTCACGCCGCATCTTCTCAATGGCCTCCACAAGGCCTTTCTTTACTGTCCGGAGTGCTGCCAGGTCGATTTCCGCGCCCGTGAGTTTCCTTCGCCCACGAGGCAGTTTTACAACAATGGGAGCATCGACTCCGTGGAGAGCCTGTTGCTTCAACTGCTGCTGCTCTTGTTGCTGAGAAGCCGTGTAGAACGCCGAAGAGAACACATCCGCACCATGCTGTTGTGCGCCGACCAAGGACGACAGGGCCTTCTCGAGACTCTCAAGATACGACTCCGCCAACACAGCGTCATCGGGTTCCTCCTGCATAATGTACTCCCAGCAAGACACACCGCCCTCGTTAAACGCCGCGGCGACGCCTAACGGGGCGCCACTGCCAAAGAGAGGTCCCTGCTGCTGCTGCTGCTGCTGCTGCTGCTGGGCCATCGCTCGGGCTGTCTTAACGGTCGCAATGCGGCGGCGGAACATGTTCGGAAGAGCTTCCGTCACCTCCAGTATAGGGGCTGGTGGATCCGGCACGACAATCTCGTCGTACTGCTCTGTCACAACTGGTGTCTGCACAATCGTGTACCCAACATGCTCCTCCGGCTCATAAGGTCTTCCTAGCGGTGGAATGCAATGAAAACGACGTGGACGGTGCGAGAAACGCAGCAAGTGAGAAAGCGTCACGACACCGGGAGACATTCCCAGCGTCATAATCGCCGGTTGTCCAGGGGATTGGACTTCACTCGGTTTCATGCTCTCCGTGCCGTAAATGCCGCTATTCTCATCATTCGAGTCATCCTTCTCCACCTTTACCTCTGTCTTCACCACTCCCCACTGTTTGTTAACGGAAGTCACGGCCGTAGTGGATGATGACGACTTGTCGTGAGTCCCACTGTGGTAATGATGCCGGCTGAGTACACTCACAACAGGTGACAAGAGAGGCCCTCGTGAAATTCCCGACAATGGCACCATTGGCTGCGACGACAAGAAGGATGACGCCACTTTAACCTCCGATTTGTGGGTTGCCGTTGATGCAAACGAAGAAGAAGACAGTGCCACCTGAATTGGCCGTGGGTAGTGACGGAGTTTCACATGCATCTTGACAACAAATTCACCCCAACCCACCTCCGTTAATTCGAATGGTGCGGTCTTAACAATACGCTCACTAGGTGTGAAGGAAGGATCAAGGACAAACTGCACTGACTCGATGCACCGTGCCAGATATTCCGTCTCGTTAAAAAGGCCACGGATATACACAGTCCATTGGTGGCTCTTGTCACGGCTTTCAATGTCGATGAGCCGCACAACGCCACCCACAATAATGGGCAGCACCGCCCGTTGCTGGCGACCATCATAACGGAACATTTCGGCGTTGACGTCATTCACTCCATCATTCCACTCTTCAACACTATTGCCGTGGGAATCATTATATTCATCACAGTCCTCATCTTCCCTTTCCTCTTCATTCCCATACTCTGCTTCTTCGTAGTTGCTACTGTTGTTGTTGTCGTCGCTTTTCTTGTCTGTATTGTCCTGTGCTGTACCATGATGCCAGTACGATTGGTGGCGTTGCCGGACGGCACTATTCAAAGTACCATTACTACTGCTTCCGCTGCTACCACTTTCACTGTCACTGCTGCCGCTACTACCGCTGTTGTTGTTGTTATTGTCATCGTCCCTGTCACCATTATCGTTATCATTGTGTCCCCTATTACCCGTGCTAAATGATCTCCGTCTCTTCAACGGGCCTGCATGTCCAGAGACGGACATCTTCTCATCAACGCGGTTGCGTGCAGCCAAAGCCACATACAATGTGGTCGGCGCCACTTCTGTGGATACCGCCAGTGACAAACGCTGGCCACCAAATGAGCACGCATAACCATCTACCCAGGTCGCAGTGTCCTTCAGTGCTGGCAGCACTGCCGATGATGCCGGTGGGGACAAGGGTGCCGGCAGCGCTTTGACGAGGAGTTCTCGCAACGTGCCGACGACGCGGCAGTCCACAGAGGACTTATACACGGTGCCGTCAAAATGAATAGTAAAGACCCGTGTGAATTCTTCCATTGTCCTCGCACAGGTCGCACCCACCGTATGTTCTTCCACACTGGCAGTCACAACAGTCCTGCCTGCCGTTGTTTTTCTTCTTCCCTTCGGTCAGACGTTTGGCAACCCACAAAGAAACACCGTTTCTATATAAATGCGGTGTGTGTGTGTGTGTGTATTTGCGGCGAGCAGAATTATTTAGACAGCAACTGCAGGGAGAAACCAAAAAATGAAAAAAATAAAAACACGAAAAAGAGAAACAAACAAAAAGGTCTAATTTAAAAAAAAAAAAAAAAAAAGGGAGGGTAGTCAAAACAACGGCAATTTTCAGCCCATGATGTCTGGGTGCAATGCGTACTGGAAGAAGAAAGCATGGCACATCATACGAACGCCCCTTTACACCCCCCTCCTCACTGCGATCACTATCAACCCACAGAGAGATGATTGTGCTCTTATTGAGCGTACGGCATAAAATTTTCGTCATAGACTCATAAATGCGCATGTTCTTCTCGCTTCCTTTTTCCTTTCGTTTTTCATATCCTACACGCATTCTTCGTGTTCCATTGATCTGTTTATCGTTCGTCTCCGTGATTATTATTATTATTATTATTATTGTGTGTCTGTAAGGCTATTGTGGGCCTCAAACTGGTGGTCAAAATGACACCATTATCTCCATCACCTTTCAGTTGCATTTCCCTCCATCAAATGTGTTGCTCTCTTCTTCATTCATGTACAAAAAAAAAAAAGGGGATAGTAGAAAACAGAGAAGCGACATGCAAATACCGATGCGTTTGTACGTGATTTACACTACAATCTATTCGCCTTGTCAGAACGGTTCTATCATAATGCATATATCGTTCTCCTTCTCTATTTCTATATGCTTTCTAGTTTCATTTTTCTTTCGCAAACGGCTCTTGCCACCTTTCCCTTTGTTGCTCTCATTTATTTGCCTCTGCAAGAGGGAGGGAAAAAAGTGGTTTTGCTGGAATTCATTATGATTCGTCGAGCATCGTTGCAATGTCCATAAATCCAGCCTCTCGGGCGCAGTCTGTCGCCGTCAAGCCGCGCAAGTTGCGCAGCCCAACCAGCGTACCGGTTGCAGGGTGTCCAAAACGCAGCCACTGCACAACATCCGCGCGACCGCCCTGTGCCGCGCTGTGCAAAACTGTGTTGCCATTATTGGAACGCAGGGCCCGCAGCTCTATGATTGGCACCGATGGTGATGCCTGCAGAAGCGTCCTGAGAACATTCGTGTGGCCGTGCCACGCCGCAATGTGCAAAATGGTGCGCCCAGAGTAGTCCCGCACATTATCAAAACCGCGGGACAATAGCGGATCATCTTCCCGAAGTTTTTGGAACACCGCCGTGTTCCCTTCTGCAGCCGCGGCAAGAAGATCGTCAGGCCACTGATACAATGCCGGTGAGTGATGAGCGGTGCTCAGTGTCGCCGACAGGGCCGACGCGCGTCCACGAGAGGATGAACGCACACCGTTTGCAGATGAAGAGCGGCGGTTCTCCCGCATGGGACTCACTGCTGTAAGGCGGGACCCGCGATCCGCTAGAGGTAATGCCTTCACTAATGCCCTTTTCGTAACCGCATTGTTACTTTTCTTCGTGGTTGCTGTCGCAGCACCTCCAGTCTGATCCTTCGCAGAAGCCATAATGGTCACCTTTTTGAGGGGCTTTTCATTGTCTCTTCCTGGACTAGTCGTTGTAGCCGTGGTATGGGTCGCGGCCGTGAGCGCAACCCCCGCCCCTGTAACGGAGGTTGACGGCTGTGGTAATGATAGCGGTTGTTTTCCTGGTGGTGGTGGTGGTGGCAATGGTGTCACTAACTGTTGCTGCTGATTCTGTCCAGAATCTTGCTGTTGCGGTCGCTGACGACTACTAGTGGCACTCGAGGAAGAGGCAAAAGTAGTATCGGGCGTCGTACTGCTATTCACTGAAGAGGATATTGCCGCCGAATTGGGTCGGATATTTGACTGTGATGAGGGAAGTGGCATCGGCCGCAATGCGAATTCCCCTGCCATGACGCCACCTGTATTCGCCACCTGCTGTACATCGACAGCATCACCTAACGCCGAGATGCCGTGCATGGATGGCTGCATAGCATGTAATGATTGCCCTGTGGGAGCAGCCGGATCACTGGAAGCAGTGGGGTATGTACTGCCTGAAAAAAAGGGCGCCGCAGGTGACTCCACACCCTGTGCAACAGTAAAAGACGGGTTGGTAGGCAAGTTTTGTGGCGGCACCACCGGCGGTGTTGACGACGAGGCCATCACAACAGGGTTTTGTCGTGTCACAGGTTCACTGGCATTCTGCGGAGTGGGTGGGGGAACCGCAACCGCCCCAAGCAGCCCACTCGTCGAAGAAAAAAAGTGTGGCTGCTGCACGGATGTTGGTTGTGGTGGCGAAAGCATGGAGGGAAGCTGCGGCATTTGTGTGGATGCAGGCTGCATGGGTTGTGGTGGCTGTGAAAGTTGCGGAGCTCCAAGAGGTTCACTAGGGGCAGGCAGCGCCGTCACTTTTGGTGGCGGCGGCGGTGCTGGCGGCGGTTGCTCCACCGCTGCGTACGCCGAAGTGAATTTCATGACCCCGCTGTCGTCACGCAAAAACTCTGGAAGATCATCGTTGGCCACACTTTTTTTCGTCTGCGCCGCCACCTCGCTCGGTGTCATGATGACAACCTCGTACGATACATCCAAGGAGCCGCACCCGTCACGAGCCTTTTGCGAGAGCGAAACATTCCCGCCGTGCCCGAGTTGCAGCGTGCGACGTGTCATGGGAGACGCCGAAAAGAGCGTCAACGTTGCGCTGCCGAGAAGCTCCTCCGCCTCTGTGTACGTTGCCTTATTGTATACCCTCAGAGTCAGAATGGTCGGCAGGGGGCAGGCAATGAAGGTGAGAGTGGCGTCAAAGGACGGGTTCGTCGTCCCCCTGACAACAGCCGTTGTCTGTGACTGCTGGCCAATCGTTGCCGTCACGCATGGATTTGAGCTGCCATCCGGGTTGAGAGCAACAAGAGAATCTGCACGATGTACTTTGACGGTAATGCGCCCCTGTTGAATGCCGCTCTCAAGAGACATGAATGAGAAAAAAAAAAAAAAAAATCTCTTTGACTTGAAAACTCCCTTCTTCTTCTCCTCTTTTTTCTTGCGTGTATGATCGTGCGAGTTGCCTTCACACGATACGATTTCCTCACGCAAAGTGTGTATTTATTCCTCCACCCTCCACCGGAAATACACACACAAATACGCAAACCCCCACCTTCTCTCTCTTTCCCCCCTTTGTGTAAAATAAAATAAAAACCAAAAAACAGTTCGCCGTGGATGACAGGGCGGCAATCAAAAATAAAAAGAAGAGGAGGAGAAAAAAAAAAAAGATGCAGCCGATCGCTCAGGCCCAATCACCACCACCACCACATATATATATACATATATATACGCCCATGTATGCATGAATAGAGAGGAAAGAATATAACACCACAAAAACAGAAAAAAAGGAAAAAAAGGAAAAAAAAAAAATGGGCAGAACACACACGATAACATCTCACACACAAAACCAACAACAACAAAAAAAAAAAAAATGAGAGAAAAAGGGGGTACTGAGAAAAACAGAAAATATGAATGGAGCAAGAAAGCAACCACCTATACACATGTATAAATATACGTATTTATATAAAAACCTCTACACGTGTGTGTTCATATACATATGTCCAAATACCTAAGAAGGAGATGGACATACTTGAATGAGAAAAGACAACCTAGAAAACGAAAGCATCGATGGAGTCACCATTCACTGACAATGTTGGTGGAAAATTTATTTTGACTCACTCCTCCCAATTTTTGTTGTTGTTGTTCCTGTTGCTGCTTTGTTTGTTTGTTTGTGTGTGTGTGTGTGTGTGTGTGTGTGTTGAGTACTCATTCTCACTATTCTTGGCACTCCGCCTCAGGCTGATGCGACGCCGATGGTGTGGTGTCCCTCTCCTCCGCCAGCAGCCGCAATTCCGTGAGGAGAGTCTCCGCATTCACCAGAATGTGCCGAAGAGTGGACTCCTCGTGTGCAGAAAAATCCCCAGCAGCAGCAGGACCCACCGAGACCGCGGCGCTGGTAGAAGCGGTGGCGGTCGAGACGGATGGCATGGCTCCTTCGCCCCCGCCCTCACACGTCTCACTGTCTCGCGAGAAGTACAACCGCCGCAGCCCCGCCTCCGCGAGAAACTTGGCTCTAGACAAATCACACATGGCGCTGTGGTTTGTATGCATTTTTAGTCGCAGCACGCCACGGCGCATCCACAGCTGGGGATTTCGTGGTGCCAGCAAAATGGCGGCGGAAAATGCCTCCATGGCCAACGTCCATGCAGACTCGTGGCGCAGTTTTGTGTAGAGCCGACCCAAGTCACGGAACGTGGCCATCAAAGCCACAAGACGTTTTTCCATCAGCGCAACCGACACGCCTCTGGCAAGCATGCGGCGTTCGTTCACGTGAAACGTCAAAAGAAGAACCACAAGTTCCAGTTTCTGAATAGCCTTCACGATGCCACGCTCCTCGAAGGGTTCACTGATGTGCCCAAAGGGCCTGGGATGAACCGTCATGGGCTCAACCATGGCGCATGCGGGGATGGCAAGGTCCTCCCCATCAATATTACTCCCATTTTCATTACGCCTGCTGATCCTCTTGAAATGATACTTCTTCTCCTTGTCAGTTTTTGATTGCCGCTGCGACTCTGTCAGTCGCTGTTTTCCCAACTTGCGCAGTGCGTTTGCCTCCTGTTCCAGTTTTTGCACCACCCGAAGTGAGTTCGCAGGGTCAACAAAGAAGAACGAGGCCACGTCATGCACATTCGCAAAGCTTTCAAGGGAAATACGGCAATGAAGCTCATGTGGAGGAAAATTCTTGGAATCAAACTCTCCTCTCAGCCCATCACTCAGCAGCGTCTGCGCGCTGCTGGCGGAATTCGGTGACTGGATTGACATGTCCAGTGGGGTGCCCTGTTCCTCCGGTCGCTCCCTCTGCACGATGTTGTTGACGTGCATATCTTCCATGACGCGAGACTGTAGAAAGGCAGATGTCCGCAGATCATTTGCCAATGAACATTGAAAAGCGCCATCATCCTCACAGTTATGTCGCATTTTTACAATTTCCTCCTCTCCGCCACGCATCGTCTGAAGCAATACATCCAGCCAAAGCGGCAGGGACATGCTCCCCAGCTCCACGCCAGCGAGACTCCTGGGCCTGAGCATACTACCTGTCAGCGGACTCCTCCGCGTGACACTACACGACAGGGTCGCGCCATCGCGAGGAACGGAAAAGAAAGCCAGGCGCAAAAATTTTAACGCCTCCTCGTCCGTCGGAACGTTTTCGCCCCTTCCCCTTCCCCTTCCTCCTTCCACTTCTTCTTCTTCTTCTTCGTTGTCACGTCCGTCCTTGCTGCTACTATTATTCTGAGCAGTAGCGCCCGTTCCGCCGAGACTCCGCCGCATCAACTGCTCTGCCCCCGCAAGGCCGCTCTGCGAATGGGGCGCCATCGCATCCAACAAAAACGCCACGGAAGCGCCGGGATGACCCACCACGTGACAATTCAAAAACGCAGACGCGTTGGATACAAAAAGTGCACGAAGAGCACATTTATATGTCACTGCGTCTAAAAACGTCGCGTTCGAGGAGTTGGTAAAAAAAAGCGAGGAGCTGAAAAAGAGAAGTGGAAGCATACAGCCGTGCACATCCTCTGACGTCGGTTTCATCCAATCCAGCTGCGACGGCGGCGTAGAAGATGAGCCATTCAAAATGTACTTCTGTGCAATTGGCAACCAAAGGGGCTCACGTGGCAAATGATTCAACAGCTTAATGCGGATATAAACACATCGCATGGGGAAAGCCGCCGGGTTATGGGAAAAGTGTGTACCGTATGCGTTTTGTGCATCGTCGTAGATGGATGTTGGATTTATGATGATGAACGCAAACTCCTCACCGGGCCGCATCGCACGCACCGCCACCTCAACGCCGCCAAGCAACACTGAACCGCCAGGCCGCAGGCACTCGGCATCACCTCCTAGAGGCACAGACACACGACGCGGTGGGAACAGTTTGCCGATTGTCCCGCAGCACTCCACTCGGAAAGGAGCTGAATGACGGTTCTCACGCAAACTTGTGGACATCCGTTTTGCCGCTTCAAGAAGCCACTGCGCGGATTCTGCCGAGTGCGTCATGTGAAAAGGGAGCTCTCGGACCAACTCCTCTTCCGTGTACCTGCTTGGAGTCTTTGAGATGGTCTCAGCGGCGGCCGAAGGCAGAAGAGCGGGCGCCAATGAATATTCAAAAACCACCCACGACGCCCGAGAATAGGGATACCGGGAGCCCCACCACATCGAATTCTCTTCGTTTGCCTTTGCTGGCAAAAAAAAGGTTGAGGTGCTGTTGGTGGTAGTCGTAGCAGAAGAAGAAGAAGAGCTGTCATTATTCAATGGATACAGCACCTCCATCAGATGTCTGGCGGTGCCATCGATCATAAACACCGTGGGCCGCAGATAAATACCACGCAGGGGAGCCTGCGCAATTGTCTCACGAATACCGCCGCCGCCGCTCCTGCCAAATCTGTTGATTTTTCTTCCGGCGTTCTCCATCCCACCCGGGGATAAACCGGAGAAAAGGCCATCGTGCGGCCGCAGCAAGTTGGACCTCTCAGAACTTGTTTGAGAAGGGGGCTGCATGCCTGGCACTCGGCAATAAAGGCTCTCCCACGCTTCTTCCCGTAACCGGCGCGAAGAAGTGGAACCGGAATCGCGTCTTCGCTTCGTCTTTTCAACGTCTTGAAGCGGATGATATTATTGCAAGCGCAACAAGACCGTAGTCAGTGAATATATATAGTCTGCCTAAAAAAAAAAGGCAAGGCGAATAACAAATACCCCTTCTCTCTACCTCTCTCTCTTTTTTTTTTTTTTTTTTTTCTAAAGCAGTGATTTCTTTTTTCGCATGTGTGCATACATACAAACGTATATATACGTACAAAAATCGGGGGAGAGAGAGAGAGAGAGAGTAGGAACAGGAGGGTAGAAAAAAAAAAAAAAAAGGGATGGTTTGCAGTTGGAAAACTGCAACAGGTCAACAAAACCGCAAAACATAAGAAAAGAAGTGATGCCGAAAGGTTGCAAAAGACGCCGGCAAACAATTCACACGGACAATTACAACAACAATGGCAGCCAACAAAACAATTAAAAGAAAAGGAACAAAAAAAAGAAAGAAAAGAAGCGGAAGTCTTACAAATTACAAAAAGAAAAAAAGGAAAAAGCCATGTTTTTATTGGCTTCTGATGCACACGTGCGCACGTCCCGCCGCAACGAAGATACACCACCTCCCACTCCCGCCCAGCTCACACATGTAATGTTCCCTTTGCATCCTCACTTCATAATCCTCTCGCGCCCTTTTTTGCCGTTATTTCCAAGTTCTTGCTTCTTTGGTGGCTGCTGTTTCTTTCCGTTTTCCTTCTCTTCTGCCGTCACCTTCGTTCCAAATATCTCCCTCCCCATATTTCTGCACGCCTCCCACTTTCTCACTCTCCCTGGCCCTAAGTAACTCACAAACGGCTCTTCGTCCTGCTGCGCCACGCCACACAAATCGTCACACCGACGCGTCAGTTCTGTTGACGGTTATGAAGCCGCAATTCGTGATGGCGGTCAATTCGAGTACTTTGGTGCATTCTCGTCATTTGCCCGTTTGCCCCTCCACTGCTGCTGCTGCTGCCTCTCGTGGTATCGAGGCCGCCGTGAATGGTGCTGTTGTTGCTGTTGTCTTCCCTGCTGCTGACGGGGTGAGTGGTTGCCAAATGTCTCCTTCTTTTGTCCGGGCAAAGAAGAAACGGACCGTTTGCCGCCACGCTCCTCCTCCCACCTGCGGGGCTCATCCTTTTTTCTCTCGGCACGCTCGCGCCTCAAATCCTTCGTGAAGACAGTGACGACTGTGGCCTCATCCGAGAACCGCTGCTCCCTTGAGGTGTCAATTGCAGCCTTCTCCACCTCCCTTCTTTCTTCAACGGCTACGGATGACATCATCCCCGATGGCGACGATGGGGGAGGCTCCTGTCTGCTATCCTCTGGTTTGCTCGCAGCCGCAGAGAGAATGTCCACAGCGCTTGTAAAGAGAACGTGTCGGCTGCCAAGCTTCATTCCCACCGCCACCTCCAACTCTGTCAGTACAGGATCGAAGTCCTCTCGGAGTGCCAGAATGTCACCACTCTGCACCACGCGGAGTGCAGGAGAGGACGTGGACGATGAGAACAGCGTCCCCACGGCTGATTTTGAGGCGCCGGCTTTGCCTTGGTATGGTGTCACTCCCTCTCCCTTCGCAGCGGCGGCGGCAGTTTGGATACGTGGGGCTGTTGCCACTTGCTGAGTCGCGTTGCGGCGGCGGATCGCCGCCATGCGTTCCTCGCTCTTCTCGATTGCTGCCAACGCCTCCGGAAAGTTATTCAGCACGGCTGACATGGCCACATCACGTATTGCCGGTTTGGGCATAAGCAAATGCTGCGCCACCGCACCACTGCTAGTGCTTTGACTCCCAGGAATACTGCCATTACTACCCCCATGGCTGATCACCGTGGGAGAATCATCTCGTCGTTTGCTGGACGAAAAGGAGGATGACAACTCGTCGGGAGAAAAGTAAACGTTGGCGAGAACGCTGTTCGCCTCCGCCACGGGTACATTTAATGCATGAAGAATGTGCTTAAAGGCCTGTCGTCGACGATACGCGGGTGGGATGGAGAGAAGATGCCGTATCGCAATGCCTGGTTCTCCGCGGAAGCTCCACATGGCTGCAATGGCATTTAACGCGTTCGCGATGCCAACAATGTGATACGGCATAAAGAGTCGGTGTGTCTGAAAGAAGTCGGTAAGTTTTAAAAGATAGGCGTCCTGCCAATCCCGATCTAATTGTTCTGACATCATACTCATGCGATAAGCTGCCACGTAGTCTCGACCAAAGCTCACCTCGGCGTGGAACACACTGCATGTCGCAAGAGTGTGGCCGTGTTGATAGCAGTGCCTGCAAAGTTCATCGTGGAGGGTGCGACTCAAATTTGTCGCCAAGCGATTTGTGTACGTCTGACGTGCGGGTGGATGGTCAATGTCCGGCACGAGGCCCTCCGCCTCGTATATGGCCAACAATTGCGCCCTACGCTCCTCAACTGCCTCCTCTTGCAAACCTGCCGCACGCCAAAGATCAGTGTACACACGTGCTGGCGGCACAACCTCTGTGGGAATTCGACGCAACACCCGGACACCTGCAGCCAATTGTCCAGTTGCAAAACACCGTCGTATGAGGCGGAGAAGCGCCCGCACGAGGGAGGGATGCGCCCGCAGCATATCCCCAGTGAGATTGCCAAGGTTGTACATGTGGTACACGTAGGCAGCCGCAGCGCGGATACCGTCAGAGGTGCAGCGAATACCGCCCACCTGTGTTGCCACATATTCGAGTTTCGCCGCGTTTGTCGGCTGCGCTGCCAGCTCGGGGCATTCCAAATACGCATGGCCAGGGTCAAAACATAACAAGCAGTGTCTCTGCAACGGGACCGCCGCCGCAGAAGCAGCTTCACTGGAAAGGCCTAACACAGTCGCATCATCAATCGATGCCGCGACCGACGATGGGGATGAAGACACTGTGCCGCTGTTCAACAGGGTACGGATACCGTCCTCGGAGAAGCGCTGCATACGCAGCATCGCATATGTGGTATGGCGGGAGATAAACGCCCCAGGGGCCCTCGCGTACAGTCGGCAAGCCCCCTTCTCGTGTCCAACCGCCGCGAGTTTCGCAATGGTTTTATTTATGGCGTAAACAATAAGGTCATCCGCGTCAATACGTCGTTTTGGTTTCCGTACAGTCGCCGCCGTGGTGGCTTCCACCGAGGCAACATCTGGGGTGTCACCATCTTCAATTTCTTCTCCCTGGACGTCCTCTTGAAACGAGTCCACCCGCTGCAAAAGAAATCGGTAGAACGCGTGCAGTCTTTCGGGGCCGGCAGACGTCCATCCATCCACCTGCGCACGCAGCCGTTTTACCCGCTGATTCTCGCGCAGAGGGTCATACAAGATGGCCTCAGATGCCTTCACGTTCACCATCGAACCGTGTGCATCAACTTCATTCAGCCACTGTACAAGGCGCGGGCATTCAAATGACGCGTGTTGCTCGTCGAGGCACATGCAGCATGTGAGTGCCACCTGCACAAAGTTTGGGTGACTCTCGTCCTCTATCCCAACTGCACTCCGCTTACGCAACAGCCCTCGTGCCTCTTCCGCGGGGACATTAAAATAATGTGCCATGACAAGATATGCTTGATCGTCCCGCAGGTGCAGCGGAATGTGACAAAGTAAAAACGCTGCACGTCGGTATTGATGATAATGACTGAGCAAAATGGATAGTCGGTTCACTTCCTCGCTATGGACCTCCGCAAAAAGCTCCCTGTAAGGGGACTTTACAAAGGTGGTGTAGGCATCCACCACAAGACGGCTGTTTTCCGCGCCGCGTTGCAACGCCGCCTCCACCACAAGTCGTAGATGTTGCAGCATCGCATGCTGCTTCTCCTCCGGTGACATGTTAATGGATGCACGTGTTGTTGAAGAAAAGTCACGTGTGATGATGGGGCATGTCTTCCATGCGTGTGAACCAAAGCACACCTTGCATGTGGTGGGGGTAAAGATGGTCTGGAAAAACTTTTTCTCGTCGTGAATCAATTCCTGCGCGGAAATCTCCGCATACTCCGCCTCAGTACAACCAAAAAGTTTCGCAACGGCCCATAGCGTGTCATTCTTGCTGCGTGAACGTGGTGAAACAAATCTCACATACAAATACCCTGCCAGCACCCGCTCGTGTAGCCAACATAGCCGTCGTATCAACTGATCGATTCTTTCATGATCGTGAGGGGTGGCCCTTAGCATGAAGGCACGGCGATACACCATAAGCATGTACGCTGCAACAACAGCATCCACAGGACGCGCCTCAGCATTCGCCACACGAGCTCTTATCTCTTGCATAACATCGCCTGATTCAGCGTAGGCAAAATGACGCCATGGTGCTAATGGGCCTGTTTCAGCCCCACACGCTGTGCACTGCACACGCGAGCCCCACTCGGAGTTGTGTTCCTGACACCATACACAAGTCCATGGGCCATCGGTCCGCACATGCACGAGCAACTTGTTTTGCTGCCCACGCTGCCACCCCTGTTGCTGCCGTTGCAGCATTGTGTGGGATGTATCCGATGAGAGCAGCGATGGCGGTGCCGCCAGGAGTCGTGCTGACGTTAACACACCACGCTGCGCCAATGCATAGCGCCGGGCCGCCTCCTGCAACTGCAAGCGTCTAGACGATTCCTCCATGGCCGCATGAACGTCAAAGGGAAGCATCGAAATACCCGCGCCCTCAATGTTTTCGCCGTGCCCACCCTCCTCAAGTTGGAAGAGAGGCATGTTTTGATTCACTGGTACGCCGGGTATTAAGGGCACTGTCTCGCCCAGGATCTCGCGTTTAAACACGCTGCTGGCGTCTAATGGCTGTCGAGTAGGCAACGATGATGATGCCTCGCCCATCTCATGTGGCGGCAGAGAGTTACCTTTTCCGTCATCGTCCTTTTTTGACCAGCGATAAATGCGCTCATGCAAGTTTCGCCTGCCTTTTGCGCGCAGAGCCTTTCGTTTCTCGCGGAGACGTGTGACGTGTTCATTTGACAGCTGAAAACTTGGCAACGCGTTTGGGTCCTTCGACGGTACAACCGTCAGACACAACGGACAGGAGCGCTCAACGTAAACATCCTGCTCTGGCAATATGGAGCTACACATGGGGCACACCAAGTCCTCCATGACGCGCATAAAATCAGCACGAAAGCCCTCCGAGAAGGCATAGACGTTGTCCAGCACGGCGTTATAAAACTGCTTTAGCTCCTCGTGCAGACCCAATCGAATCAGCACCCGCGAGGCTGGAATCAGGTGGTGGTGCAACTGTGGAAGCAGATGGACACCCACATCCACCAGCAACCAGCGAAAGACTTTCTTCGTCACCTCACGGGCCTCCTCGGTGTGATGCGAGACGTCAAGACGGTGCAGCAGCCAAAGCGACATGTCAAGGCCATCGACAATATGACGAGATGACGCAGCACGGGCAACGTTGAGTGACATCCATGGGTTGGCGCCACGGCAGAGGGCGTCAATGACATATTTCGAGAGTTCACCCGCCTCCTCAGGCATAACAGTGAACCACGCCGGGGACTCGCGATTCAGCGTCTGGAAGAATCTCCAGACAACACCCCAGTGAATCATCGGCAACCCACCCGAGGGGGTGATATGCGACTGACCAAAAGCTGCCGTGATGTCACCGCCACCAGCCACCACATCTCGAGCCTCACGTGCAATTTTAAAAAATAGCAAGAACGGTGATGGGTGAATCTGCTCGTGTCTCTTCACAGCTTCAGCCGCCTTCCCCCCAACGAGCGCGGCGGATGCCGACAACGGGTGGCTACCGGCAACTAAAACCATGCTTGCATTCGCCGCTGAAAGTGAAGATTTCCCGGTGGAGCCATCAGCAGCCGTGGCATTAACCAGGCCTGCCTGTTTCTGCAGCACATGACACGTGGAAAGATAACGGCGGAGAATGTGCAGGGCGATCAATGGGGAAGCTTGCCCGTAAAAAGACACATTCGCTCGCAGCATGAGGCGTGCAGCTAGGCGTGCATCCAGACCGTAAACAACGCCCTCTGCGGTATTATCCCCACTGTTGAGGTGCAAAGTGCCCAGTCCCCATGCCCGTTCATCACGCAGAGCCACGTAATGCTGCTCCGCGTACCCCACTTCTCCCATACTCAAACGACACCATTCTATTCGTCCCGCGTCTAGCGCAAGACGTTTCAGTGAAGCTAATCGAACCTCAAACGCTGATAGCGTCACCGTATCACCGTCGTTCATGGTGTTTCTACTATCTCGGTTATTATTATAACCCTTATCTGCCTCCCCACCGTGTTTTGTGGAAGCCTTTGACGCTGCAACTGGCTCCTCTCTCATCAATTCCGTGGGAATACGCTGGCCCGTTCCCACGATGCGGCCTGCGCTGGGAGTATTCTTCGGTGCAAGTGTCAAGAGCCGCCAAAGGAGGGGTGAGTGTGGTATTTTTCCCTCCGCTGCCGCCTCCATCACAGCCGCCCACAGCCCCGGGGTGATCCATGCGTCCGGCATGTCCTGCAGAACTTCAATGGCGTCACTAAACAAGTTTTCAAAGAGCAGTGCCTGACAAAGAAGCACCCGCACAGCAGGATTGTCGTATAACTGTGGACATCGCCACCGCAGCAAATGACTAACTGTCTGTAATGTAAAAGACGCGGTGCCTGATGAAAACGTTAGACGCGTCTGATTAAACACCGCTTCCAGTGCATGCACAGTAAGGCGTTGACACGGTGTCCGATGCCGCATGACAGTAAGCAACGTCTCAACAGGAGACGGAGCATCGGGATGAAAAATCAACGCCTCAAGGTCAACAGAACCACGCTCAATATACCGCTGCAAGACCCATGAGTATGGCTCATACCGACGCCGACGACGAGCAGTTGGTGAAGTAACAGCACGATCTGTTGTTGCATCCGCTAAATATGCCCCCGGTGCAAAGAAACGATGACGCTGCATAAACAACATGGCTGCATGGTGGCCAGTTTCCTGCCTTGGGGCCGAAGGTAGGCTCTTTGGTTTGCCTTTACCCAATGCAGCGGCAGATGAAGATGTCGATGCATGAGCAAAACGTGAAGAAGATCGCATGAGAGAAATACAAAAATGCACAAACAACTCTCGTGACTCCAAAGGCTCCCTCTTTTTATCTGCTAATCCCCTATATTTCTCCTCCTTCTTCTCTTCCTCTCTATTTATTCCCGTCTACCTATGTGATTAATGTCCCTCCCTAAGCCCCTCACACACCCTTCCCCTCCCTCCGCCCGCCGTGCCTTCTTTGTTGTTGTTGTTGTTGTTTCTGCTCCTGCTACCCCTAAAGAACACACCCCACAAGGGCCCCAAGAGCAAAAGGAAAAAAAAAAAAAAAAAAAAAGAACTCTTCCTTTGTTTATGCCACCAACACGGAAATTGGGTTGATGAATACTGAAAAATGGTTAGCAAACAAGACGTTTGCCGTCACGACCTCCCCTTTTCTTATCGCCACCACAGCCACCAGTTCTTTTATTCCTCGTAGGTGAGGATTTGCTTGCCCCCTTCCCTTCAATACACTATGCACTCTCTGTGTGAATGGTTAAAAAATATTTATTATACCAAAATAAATCGCGTTGGAAGGCCTCCTTACCCTCTTCTTCTTGCCGTGTGTCTGTGTATGTATGTGTGCTTTCTGTATGTATGCCGTGGCCCTGAAAACAAAAAGAAAGGAAAAGAAAACAAAAAAAAAAGGTGGTGATTGATGTCAATCAGCAACTAAAAAAGAAATGTACATGTTTTCTTCCTCCTAATCCTTTTTGTTGTTGTTGTTTTTTTCCTTTAAGAAGAAGAGATTAAATTCTCCTTCCCACAAATTGCTTTCTTGAAATGACACTTCAGTCGGTGCACAATGAGCAGACATCATCACACTACAACGAGAGAGAGGGAGAGAAAAAAGAAAAAAGACGCGTGAATCAAAGCGACGTCCGCAATGGTTTAGAGTTCAAGTGCACATAGCGCTCCACAATGCCCACCAGCTCATACGTCTTTGTTGGCATCTCGTTGGTATCGACAGAGGCAGACGCAGCGTCCAACGTCATTTCCTCCGGATGCTCCGCCAGCCACTCCTGCAGCAAACAACACCGCGCTGACGGCAATGAGGGTGAAGAAGAAAGCGGAGACTTCTGTGCGCCGTGCTGCGGCTGCTGACATGGCTGCGACTTCCGTTGCCTGAGCACGAGAAGTGGCTCTCCAAACTGGCCACGGCTCCCTTCCACAAGCAACGTTCCGATGCGCAATGAACAGCGCTTCTTGTTACGTGGGTCATCATCAATGTGGCCAAGCGGCACCTCCACCACCGTCTCTTGACCTAACGCACCATCAGACACTTCTGCCTGCGCCAATGACTCCTCCGCATCACGTGGCTGCCTTACACCCGAGAAAAATCCCTGCTTCTGCTGCTTCTCAGAGGCCTCCCTAACCAATTTGGGAGGAATACTAACTTTGCCTTGCAGCTCCAGCAGCAGCATCTCCTGCAATACGCCCTCCGTCGGTGCTACCACACGAATCATGGCCCGCTGCTGCCCTCATCACCGCGCATGTGCATTTATGTATGCGCAAATGAGTGGATTTTAAAGAAAAAGAGAAAAAGAACACAAGCCGTAAGAAAAAGGAGGCGGAGAACACGTCACCGGCAAAAAGAAAGGGAAAAAACAAAAAAAAAACACAAACACCCACCCACCCACGCACGCACGCACACAAAGAAAAAAGAGCAAGACTACTCTCAGGTCTCTCATCAAAGTTTCCCCTTTTCCGCCGCCGTTCGCCTCCGCACACAGAAGGCCGTTCCCCCCACACAATTCCATTCCCTTTTCCTTTTCTTCTTTTTTCCTCTTCTTCTCCCTGTTGTTGTTGTTTCCCCGCAATCGCAGTCGCTGCTCTTTCCTCACCGGTCCTTCACCCAAGGATGCGGCAGTTCACGGTCGGGAAAGTGCTCATGCCAGATGCGCCGCATCATGTTGTCGCGACCAATAATTTCGCCATGAAGTGTCCCCAACTTGTACTTCCAGCGGTATGCCATGAGCAATTCATTGTCCCTCTTTTTCTCATCCACGCACTGGGTGTATCGGTCCCGCTCCTTCTGGCACTTCCACGTCGTCCACATCTTGTCCTGCAGGCAGCGCGCCATCGTCTTCTCTACCTCCGCACACCGCCGCTCCGCCTCATTTGCCACCGCGTCCTTCAGCTCCTTCACCACCATGGGCGGAAACCGCAGCGCCTGAATATGGTCAATGGTTTCAAAGTCCTCCTCGTACACATCCTCAATCACGTTCTTTTTCTTGTCCCGCTTCTGACGCACCGCCTCGGAGGACAGGCGGGCGTAACGTCGGCGCTTCTCGTCAAGCACCTGCTGCTGACGTCGCAGCTCCTCGGCAATATCTTCATCCGCGTCGGGGATGTGCGCCACGGCGGCCGCCTCGCTGCTGGCGCGGGCCCCCATCTACACCCGACACGATGACCGCCCCCTCCCACTGTGAAAAGTGAAGCGGGAATAAATGAAAGACACAACACAAAAAGGTGGAAAAAAAGAAGAAAAGAAGAGAGAGAGAGAAAGAAAGGGAAGATGACAATGAGAAAGACGCGCAAAGCAAAACCGCCCAAACAACAACAAAAAAAAAAAAAAAAGAAAGAAGCACTCAAAAAATCCCTCCACAGCATTCATGCGCATAAAATGCAGGCGTGTGCACGCACGCACACAGAAAGAGCAGAAGCACAAGTAAAATGACGGCGAGAAAAAAAAAAAACGGTTTTATGCGGCACCTAAAAAAAAAAAAAAAATGACAATTGCTTCCGGCTCCCCTCATTTATTTGCTCCTTCGCACACCGGAATGCTGCAGTTCACGGCAAAAATTCCCCGCATCCGCCCCCTTCCCTCTCCCCTTTTTCCCCACACAAAGAAAGCCGTAATAAGGACGGTGACATACTGGCCGCGTTGGCTGCATGTTTGGACAAACATAAGTAATAAAAATAAAAAATACAAATAAAACAACTAAGAATGAGAGACCCCTCTTTCCTTCGTAAAAATTTAAAAAATAAAAAAAAATACTTCGGAAAAACAGCAACGCGATTCTTCTCATACGTGCAATCCACAGTCTCCCAGCCTGCTTAGCCAGCTCTCCACCAAGGCTCACTGGGCCCAACCCCTACTACTACTACTATTACTAGCACCACCATTTAGTACTGTCATTTATATTAAATGTTATCGTAAACACAGTTCCATTTCTCATTCTCATTGAGCAAACACAAATCACATGTATTAAAAACAGAAACGCATGCACGTACCCAAAGAAAATAGGAGATAAAAAGAAAACAAGTAGCATATTGGTGGTTTGACAAGAAAAAATAAATATAAGGTTGGGGAAACATAAAAAAATAAAAATAAAAAAAGCACAAATATTTATTTATCTATATGTTTACACCCATACAATTTTTTACTCTCAGGCAGTACATCCATTCAAAACCACATCAATGCTCGGGGCATGCGCAGTGCGTGAATTTGCACGTGTTTCCTCCATTAATTCTTTTCCGTGTTTTATGGAAAAAGAGGAAATTTTCTGTTTAACCTAAAGCATTTCTTCAGGTGTGCTCATTGAATTATCACATAAATAAATTTGATTGGAAAAGGCTTTCGCTAAATGTTTTTTCCCCCTTTTTTTTTCGTTTGGTTTCCGTTTGCGTTTATTCTTTGTTTTGTTTTCACACTCACCTTTATTATTATTATTATTATTTTGCTTCTAATCCCCCCAATGTGATGGCTGTTAGGCTACAAAGGGGCGCTTGGCGGCGTCAAATTCATGCTGTCCCCCCGTGTCTTTACCGAATTGATCCCCGATCACCGAATCACCTATCCTGTTGGCAGAGCTGTCATTGCCATATGTTTCCCTATCGACATCCTCGCTGCTGATGTTGCAGCCGGCGGAGGCGATGGAAAGAATGGGAGGAGGGGACAGTACGGAAAAATATTCTGGGTGCTGCTCAACCACGCCATCTGGCAGGGCCGTTCTTGCCTTCATGTCGTTAACTTCTGCAAGTGACATTCGTGCCCTCCCATTACTGCCCTCCTCAGCCTCGCTAGCCTCGTTGAGCCCGGGCTGCTCAAGATCCACCGCACCTTCCCCCAAAGAAACGGAATTCTTTGTCCCGTTTGAAACGCGGGAGGCGGCAAATGCGTCTGCGTGAAGCGTCTCCAACGTATTCACCGCTTGCAGTGGGCTGCCACTTTTCCCCACCGCCTCTGGAGCCACGCTATCCTCCACTCCCCCCGTGTTTGGAGAGGCACCTGCGTCCTCCCCACGTGGCTCCCTTATCACCGGATCCACGCATTGACAGGATAGACCCTCTTGCCGCTCTTTCAGCGTGTCGTCGTCTTCCCCGTGGCCGCTTTGGTCCACCAATTCCTTCTCCTCGTCCTCCCCCCTTTCCTGCTTCTGTACACTACCCCTACGCGATCCTTCGTGACTCCCAGTACTGGCCCTTCCATCCGTCGTCAGGGAAGATAAAGAAATCGCCGTCGATTTGGCGCGTATATCAGCCAACTTTGCCCAAGGCGATTGATGGCAGAATTCAACGCACGAAGCACCCCTCGCATACTTCATCGCTCCCGCTGCATGCCCAGTGCTCAAACGCCCTTTTCGCGGTCTTGTTGTCAGGGCAGTTCCGGTAAATTCCGCCGGCCGCCTGCCAGCAGAGCTTTGCGCGGCTGACGATGGGCCAGAACTCTGAAGGGGTAGAAAATTCTTCTTCCAGCGGAACGAAGCATATGATACGGCATGCGTGGAGCCGCGCGAGCCTTTAGAGGATGGATACAACGGGAGATCCGGCAAAGAGGACCGTGCCGCCACAATAGGCGGAAGCTTTTTCTGCTGCAATTGCGGAAAACGTGGCATGGGTGATACATTTTCTGGCGACAGTGGCAATGACTGAGCACAAGCCTCTTTCTGTCCCTGGAGGGTGCTTTGACCAAAACCGCATATCGGCTGAGCCATAGGGGCTTGTAGACTTTTATCATCCCTCGTGAAAAGCATGCTTGGTATCGAAATGCAAGAATAGCACAAAAGGCTCTCATTCCTGCTTTCCATGCGCGAAAAGTCGCGCATCTCCGGCGTCCCTGCCCTCGCCGATGAAGCCGCCATGCTCGAGAACCGTTCAAAAGTCACGTTGTTTTGTGCTTGCGGCAACATGTGCGAAGGATCCGCCCCAACGCCCCGTGAAAATGGGGCACTCCTGTGCCAGCCCACCACTTTTGGATCTCTTAAAAAGGGAGTCGGCAAAGGAACACTGCGGCAGGACATAAAGGCCGCCTCAGACGCATCTTCATTGCGCGTCGCAGGCCGAGGTGGCAATGAAAGTCGCCATGAGCGTTCACTCGGCAACCTCGCTAGGGGTTGAGTGCCACTTATCATTGAAGAGGCAGCCCTATGAAAACTACGGCACGACATAAACAAATCGCTCATTTCAATCGGTTCAGCCATCGTGTCCATGCTATACAGTCCCGCGTATGGGCCAGCACTGTTGTCTCCCTGCCCTGGGGATTGGTTAAAGCTCAACGGCGAGCCTTGTACCGTAACGAATTCAAATTCGCCAGTCGCAGTATCTTCAGCATCCCTCAAACTTTCACGCTCTTCATCTGGCGTGCCGTTATTTGACGGCTCGCCCACTTCCCGTGGCGTGAATGCGAATGGGAGCGTAAAAAATTTCAAATCATCAGAATCATCTTCGCCGTTGGGGTTATCGCTTTTGTTGCTTCCGCCGTGTGCCCCTTCCTTCTGTGCTGGCTCGCCTGTGCTCTCTGCCCTGCAAGACGTCAGTTGTACCCCGTCCAACGGTGCGCTGTCGCTGGGTTTCACGTTCAGTTTTGGCCTCCCATCCTCCTTAACTTCTCCATGGAGCTGCTCCCGTACATGTGCCTCCTCCGGCTGCCTCCTCTTTTTTGAATTGGAGGAGCAGCAGTTACCCATTTGTCTCCTCAATCCTCTCCTACTATACGGCTTCTTTGCTGTTCTTGGCTTTTTTTTTTTTTTTTTGTTTCTGCCGGCCTTATCTTTCTGCTGATTAGCTGCTTTTTATGTCTCCAAACAAAATGAAAATTTCCTTTTCTTTTTATTATTTTTATTTATTATTTTATTCTCGCCCCCCGGCTTCGATCAATTTTATACGCGCCTCCCTCTCGCTTTCGTTCGTAATGTGCGCCTTATGTGTAGGAGAAAATGATATCCGCTCCAATTGGCTCTATTGTGCCTGTCGCCGCGTACCTTTTGAGTGTTTTCGGTTTCCCCGATGCTTTTCAGACACATGCATTCATGTAAACAGAAAAGGGGGGGAAAAAAAAAGAAAGAAAAGAAAAAAAAAAAAAAAAAGAAGGACAAAACAAACAGCAGCATTGTTGAGTAAAAACATATCATCACACGTGTATGTAAGCGTACATAATGGAACCACCTCGAATTTACACGAGGATGAAATAAAACAACAAAAAAAAGGTTGGATGATAACTTAAGCCTTAGCACCAACAACAAAAAAAAAAAAAAAAGAAAAAAAATTGCATACATGAGTATATATATATATATATATATATATATATACAAGGATACATGCAAGGATGTAAATTGGATCAAGTACAAATGGCAGAAAAAAGCCGTAACAAAAAGAAAAATTTCATCTGTGCCTCCCTTCCATGAGTAAATAATGTCTTCTCAGGCTGACACGGCGTCACATCAAAGTCATGCAACCCCAACTGGGAACATAACCATGTTATTTATTTGTGCCCATTATCAGTGTTTTATGCATGTTCCACCCACAGACTACATTGCATAAGACTCTTCTTGCACTCTCTGCTGCCCTCTTCCCCATCACCACCACCACCACTCAGCAAAGACACCACAAAGACAAATACGCCCACGAAGACACTCATGTGCACACCACACAAGGAGGAAAAGCAAAATGCAATAAGAATGTTCTAACACAAATTCAATTAAGGCAGAAAAATAAAGCAAGCACACGGTCAACGCGCGCAAGACACAGAAGCATATATATATATAGAGAGAGAGAGAAAGAGAAAAAGAGAAAAAACAAAGCAAAACAAATTTAAAAAACGGAAATAGGAAAAAAGAAAGAAAGAGTTGCGCACTTCTCTCTCTAAACCCTCTACATAAATATGCATATATGTATATGTATGGGGAGTGACCCGAGGCGTAAGTCACCCAAAATGGCGTCAAGTGAGCTGGACGTATATATACAATTGTTTTTACACATACAGAAGTAAAAGCAAATAAGCCCTTCGTTCTTCCTTCCTTTTCTCCCACCGTAACCTTTGGCTGGGGTAGCACCATTTGCACATGGCACGGCAATTTATAGCCCTGGCAGAAAAGTGAAAAGAAGAAAAAAAAGGCCTCCAAACAAAGCAAAAATTACGGTGCTTATGTTCTCGCTGTTTTTGCTTGTTTTTCCATGAACTTGTTTTTCTCTTTCCCCCCTTTGGTTGCACCACCTTCCCATCGTTGTCGTTGACTTTTGCTGCTCTTCAGGCTAATTCCTGCCTCTCAATATACATGTACACTCCCACCAGTACTCACTTTCCTCCTCCACTCCCTCTATTCATAGTGATTCGCCTCCAGTCCTGACACGTACACTTGCGACGCCCGTAAACTACGCTCCTTCAGGAGACGATGGATCTGCTCGAGGACCTCCCATCCTGCGCTGTTGAATGTCCATGGATGTTCCCCATTCGGCACGGTTGGCCCATACATCACCGCTCGGCGCCTCTCCTCCCCGTCACCACTCCCTGATTCATCTGGCAAATCATAAAGCCCTCTTCGAAGCACACCATTTGTTCCCACGATGGGCGTCGGCCGTGCCTTGGATGCAATCGTTGCCTCGGTTGGCCTTTCCTCTCTGGCTGCGCGAATGGGCGGAGCCATCGGTGGCAGCACCACCGCGCCCACGGGTTCCACAATCTCTGTTTTATGCAAGGCTTTTCCTTTTCCCACCCATGATGTTGGCGTCGATGATCGTGTAGTGGATGTTTTCGTTGTCATCGACGAAGTAGTAACAGGTGTCGAAACCGCTGCCCCCCTTCCACGTGAATTCCGCAACGGTGACTCATCGTCCAAAGCGTGTGGGTACATCCTTCGTTTCCGACGCCCATTTTCCTGTGCATGTTGGTCAAACGTTAAGGATCTCTGTATGGATAGAGGGAGTTCGCCAGCGGCTTCTGGACTGGCGTCCACACGTCGTTGGGTTCCCGCTGTAGGGCGTGAGGAATGCGGTTCCAGCTCCAACGGCGAGGTGGTAATAACTGACGCCAACATATCACTGCTAGAAGAGACGGCGTAATTATCCACGCCATCTGCCCCTGCCCTGTTCGGGTGCGGTGGATGTATGACTCGTGTCTCACGAATCTCAATGGCTTGAAGGCCCCGTGCCAGTGAGGAGGCCAAAGACGTTTTCATCCCAGAAGCCTCCACAGCATGCAGAGGCCGTGCCCGCAACGCCGTTTCAGGGGTCTCGGAAAGAATTCCCGTTCCGGAAGGCTCCACAGTAACGTCCTTGCCTCGTTCCACACCTTCCTTCTTCTTTTTCTTCTTGCCCTTGGACTCCTTCTTAGAAGGAGAGCCGGGTTTCCTAGTCCTCTCAGGCACATCGGTTGCGCTTCTACTACCGCAAGAGGCTGAATTCCCTTCACGCTCTAAAATTCTCTCGTGAGGGTCCACTTTATCCTCCCGTTCTTTCTGATTCTTGGAATTGGAGCAGCCCATTCCCCTCGTGTGTGCGTGTGTGTATGTGTATGTGTATGTGTGAGTACCTGCACTGCCCTCCTCCCCGCACACCCACACACGGCTGGATTTATTTCCCAGTTATATGCCTGTGGTTTCCTTGAGCGCAGCCTGTTGAGTGGCCAAAACAGCCAGACGGAAAAAGAGAAAAACAAATTAAAAATCCTCTACGCCCTACTTTTCCTTAACAGAAACATCAGAAAGGGAGAAACAAAGTAGTAAAAAAACACCATTTATTATTTAGTTCTCGTGTTGTCCTCATCTCCCATCGCATGGTGGGATATGTATACATGTAAGCTCACCAGCCACCGGGGAGCCCACACGTGGTGCCCTCAGCGCCCTCCACAACAATGTCCATCGCGGTCCATTGGAAACAATGATACTGTTGCTGTGCATGTACCAGACACGCGTAGGGCCAAGCCATTCCCTCCTCAGACCCTCACAAACTAAAAACAAAAACGGCATTTGGCAACCATTCAGCAGCCGTCTCACGCCGCCCATTGTCGTTTGTGCACCGCCTGCGTGCATGGCAGGAACGGAGTGGCAGAAAAAAAGAAAAAAGACGGACAGACAGAACGTGAGGGAAAGGAAAAGAGTTGGGGTGGTGCCAACAGAAAAAGGAAGAGTCCGCGTCGCAAGCAGTCAATAAAACCAAACACACCGAGATAAGACCAAACAACAAAAGAAGTTCCAACATTGCCGCCTGTAGAAATAGGGGGAACCAACAACACATAATTGTATATATATATATATAGGGAGAGAGAAAGAGAGAGAGAACATAAACACTCATTTGTCACCAACACCACCCCCTCATTCTGTGTGCCGTTCATTTGATTTCGCTCACACGCATCCCTCCTTTCCTTTTTTTTTTTTTTTTTTTTTTTTTGTAATTCTCCCTTCTTTTTTTTTTTTTTTTTTTTTTTTTTTCTTTCTTCATCCCGCACACTTTGGGCATGCACATGATGATGTTGTTTTTTTGCCTTCGGTTGCAACCGCTTCTCCCCCTTCCCCCCTCCCTGTCCTTTTTTTTTTCTTGTAATTATCCCTTTCACGCTGCCGCTCCATTTCCTTTCCCACCCCCCTCGTCAAAACCCGTCTTATTCACATGCATCAATATATTAGTCCATTCAAATTTTTATTTCCTTTTATGTTTCTTGTCTGCCTATGGACTAGTGCCTATTCATCGCCGTTGCTGCAGCGTTCTCCGTGCGCAGCTTTTTACCCACCATTATTTCTCCCCTCTTCCTCATCTCTTCAGCTGTCCCCCTCCGTGAGTCAAATGCCCCCGGACGGATGCATCAGCGGAGCCGTGGGGGCGGTGTATGTCTTCTTCCATGTGTTGTACATCCCCAGTGCCCACACCGGCATGGTGTTCTTGTACCCCGGGTAGTGAATCGGGTTGTTGCCATTAAACACACCACTGATCCTCTCCTGCGCCCAGTCTCCCGTGACAAGCTGCCGCGACATGATCAAGCGGATGCCCCGCTCCACCGCCACACTGATTTGTTCCCGCCACCTTGGCAACGAACGGGCCGCCTCCCCAGCGGCTGACATGATCGCCATTACCGCCCAGGCAGTGTTCACGACTTGGCTGCCACTTGGGTTGTCCACCCAGAGAGACCGAACGCTGGCGGTGACGTCCTCGCCCCACCCTCCGTCGGCGTTCTGGTGGGACAGCAAAAAGCCAATGAGACGCATGCATGATGGGTGGTTTGCCATGTCGGGTATCTCACGGGAGATACAAAGTGCACTAGCCACAATCCACGCAGCGTAGGTAAAGCACACACCCCAGCTCCCGTAAAAACTACCATCTGGTCGCTGCAATGACAAGACAAATTTCAACCCTTCCCGAATAGCGGCGTTGATTTCCGCCCGGCGGTATCCCGGGTAGTGCTCACGAAAAAGGGCCAAGGTGTGAACGCAACTGCTGCTGCACTCGGCGTAAGCGTAATCTGTCATCACGTCCTTAAACGCATCGGAGGAATTGAAGAGCTCAACATAGAGCGGCGCACGCGTGGGTTCGTATGAAGCCCAACCACCCTTTGCATTGCGTAGAGAAAGAATCTCGTCGACGGCATCACGTATGCGGCTCACCGAAAACGGATTGTGACGAAGCAAAAGAACCACACGAAGACCCTCAGCAGTGCAGTCTGACACTTGCCACGACTGTGAAGCGGTACTAAAATTCCATGCACCCTTCGTACGATGGCGGTAGAAGTGAGCCGCTGACTTCGGGTCCTTCTGAACCTGCGCAACGTCAATGTAGTGGTGGGCGAGAGACATCTGCTGTGGGTACAACAACTCCATGTTACAGGCGCAGACAGCCTGTACGGCAAAAGAGGTATCCCACAGCTGGGAGCCATTGTAACCGCACACACGCATTCCTTCTGGTCCCATGTAAATATAATCAGCTACGCGAGAGACATGATTTTGATAACGTCCGCTGTTCTCGCCCTCTCGAATCCACGTAAGAAGCATATCCAATGCTTTATTTACGGGCCCAAGGCAAATAAATTTGGTATCTTCATCATCATATGCAACGTGTGACCAAGCCACCTCCAATGCATGTCTGCGGAGACTTTTGATGTGCCACTTTTCGTATAGTTTCAAAAGCACCGCGACAAGTTTGTACGTGGAGGAAAGTGGTGTATAGCAGTCCAAGTTACAGATGTTACTTTGGTGCTGATCCCATTGTATTTGATCATATGGCTCCGTATACAATTCCTGGCGAAGAGCTTCCAAGAGGGGGTGAGGCTCAGGTGCCCACCGTATACCATATAAGTAAGAAAATGGCACAGAGATAACGCGGCTGTGGCACCAGAGGCGTCCTTGAGATAATGGGAACCAATCTGGCAAGAGTGAAAGCTCTGGAGGAATGGGGTTAATGCCATCCCAGCAATATAAGCCCACAATGCACAACCACACTTTACCCCATGTTGGAACGGAAACCGCACCACCGTGACTGCGTATCCATGCCCGAGCCCGCGTGGCATCCGCATCATCCGCCGGCACACCCATAAAACGCAGCGCAACGTAGTTAAGAGCCGTCCCTAACATCGTACTATGCCCCTCCGTGTGTTGCCCAAAGCCACCGTCCTTGTTCATGTAGTTTCGCAGGTATCGTATCATTTCTACCCGCTCCGCCTCCCCACAACGACACGGCTCGTCATTTTTGTGTTGATGATCCCTGTGTGGAGGGAACATCTTCCGAATATCCCCACCAGCGACAATAAACTTTGTAAAAATAAAACCAGGCGTTAAAAACAATGGTCCGCTATAATCATTTGGCCAATGTCCAGAATATGGATCCTGCAGGCGGAGCAGAAATTCAACCCCATCGCGCATGGCATCTTCAGGTGAGGCGCGTCGACGTATCTCCGTTGTGTTATGGAGACCGAGCTGATACTGCTCCAAAAACCGACGTTGTTTTGCCTTAATCGCACGCATGTCTGGTTCCTTCGTTGGCGTGACGGCATTTCCCGCTGCCCACTCATAATGTTCCCCCACCATGGGAACATCTTCGGATGGGAGAATCGTTAACCCTGCGGCTTGGGCCTTGCCGAGTGTATTGCCCTCCTCCTCGTTTAGCAACTCGCCGTAGCACCAACGCTGCCGGCCGTCTTCACAGCGCAAATGCCAATTCTCAATTGGAAACTCCCCGGACGCGGCGACCCGAACTGGACGCACGTGTGGCACGCTCTCAAACGGCCACCGCTGTTGGTGCTTCAAAACAACCCGTCTATTGTGCCGGTCAAGCAGCGTAAGAAGCCCGTGAAAAAGGAGCAATATTGGCCACGTAAAGAAAAAAAATAGAAACAGGCTCAACATCCTTCCAGCAGCCAACAACACTGACCGCATGTGCTCAGACCACGTTGTTGGAGGCTTGGGCACAACACTCTCAAACGAAAAAGCCCCAGAGGATGACATGGAAGGCGAGTCTCCACTCATGTTTTGCTGATTGCGACGTTTCGTAAGCACCGTCATTACAAAAAAAAAAGAATGCGACAGCAACTTTCAAGCCCTGTTTCACCTCCTTTTTATTGAATACGCCGTAATAAAATAAAATAATTGATTATAATCCTTTATATCTTGCTGATCGTTATCAAGAGGGTAGAAATTTTTCAATAAAACAGCGGAAAAGAGAAGAAAAAAAATAAATAAATAAATAAATAAATAAACGGACGCATGTACAACAACATTCTTTTATTAATAATCCCCAAATGAGTTTTTCTCTTTTGTTTATTATTACTTTTAATTTTTTTCTTCCATGTTTTTGTGGGTGTTTCTGTCCGTGGAACAAATCGGTGTTGACGGTACGCATATATACATGCATGTATAAATAGATATGAGTTAACTATCTTTTCTTCTTTTTTTTCAACAGCACTTCCGCTCCTATTATCCCCTGACATCAGGTGCGTTGTTCTTTTGACTTCTCTCTTTGTTGTCAGTCTCTGCGTTTGTGCGCCCATTTTTTTATTTTTTTTTTTTTTTTTTTTGTGTGTGTGTGTGTGCGTGTTTTATGGCCCACCAGACAAGCAATTTACAATAATCCAAAAACTAGAAAAACACTTATGTGTTGGATAACAAAAACAAAAAAAAATGGTAATGTGGCTTGGAACACCAATTTTTCCCCTCGCCCTATCTAAGCTCTTAGCTACTCTAAAATATTTGCCTCACTTCTAACTCGTCGCGGCGCACACATCTGTCGCCTCCTGCGGATCGCGATGCTGTGGCGACGGCCTCCCCTTTCGCCTGCTATTCCGCCTCACGGACGCATCACCAGTAACAGCGTCCGTTGGAGCAGCGTTGGCTTCTGCAGAAGGAGACAAATCAAGTGGCGATGGGGATATCAACTGAAGCTCCTGGCACCGTTCCTCCGCCTCCACCACCAACTGCAAAAGCCCCTCGCATGTTGGACGGCTGGCCGGGTCGATTGTCAGACAACGCTTCGCGATGGCCGTTAACTCGGGAAGCTCAGCGCACTCCGGCACCTCCGGGGTCTCCGTTGTGTACCGGAGTAAATTCATGATTTGCTCCTCACTTTCAAATTCGTATTCACTCCATGGAGCCTCCGTTGAAAGCATCTCAATTAGTGCGCAGCCAACCGACCACATATCACTCGCCTTCGTGGGACCAACATCGCCGCGGAGTAACTCTGGCGCCATCCACCGTAGCGTGCCCGCAAGTCGATACGTCGTGGCGTCATTGCCGTTTGCAGCCTCTGCCCTACCGGCACGATCTAGGGACTGACTGTGCTGTCTGTTGAGCAGCTTGGCGGTGCCAAAGTCTGACAGCTTCACACGACCCTTGTCCGTGATGAGTATATTGGCCGCCTTCACGTCGGAGTGTACAATGTTGCGCTGATGCAGGTAGCGCAGACCCTCCAGTGTTTGCCTCAAGTAGGAACAGATCACACCTGGGCTAAGAGCCCCAAAGTTGTCAAGCAAATGACGCAATGAGCCGCCAGGCACAAACTCAAGAAGAATGTTAAAATACTTTTGGTTCTGAGACGATCCAAGGTACTGCACAATGTTCGGGTGCACGGCCCGGGAGAGAACCTTGATCTCCTCCTGCAGACTTCTGTACTGCTGGAGCACATCCTTGTGGTCTGGGTCGTCGTGGGCGACCGTAGGCAGTAGGACTCTCTTCACGGCTATGAGTTTTCCGTTCGTCAAGTTGATGCCAAGAAAGACCTCCGCGTTGCCCCCTTTACCAAGCATCTCCTCGCCAATTTTCCATTCAATCGTCTCACGATGCGGTGTTGTTGTGCCACCCGGCCTGCCACTTCGGCTTCTCGTCGAAGTCGCGAGACGCCGGCCACTACCACCGCCGTTGTTGCTGCGCGACACCCCGCCCAATTGGCTGCTGCTCGCCGCGATCAAACTCCCGCTTTCAGAAGAGGTTGGATGCCTACGGTGCAGCGTCCCTCGTCTTGGCATCCCTGATGAGTTCACACTGGAGACCGCCATCGGCACAGCAGCAGCAGCAGTCTCCGAGAGTGGCACCCCCCGTTCGTCCGTCAGCAGAAACTGAAATCCCAAGAAGAATCTGGAGGAGCTCAATCTAAACGTAATGAGATCATGATCACGCAAAATAGAATGCTTTCCTTTACTCACCTTCTTAACATTGACATATGTGCCATTGACGCTTTGATCGTACAGTGTGACCACCCAGTTTCCCATCGGGGCATGACAACTGTGTGGGCTGGTAGGAGTCGAGTTGCGCAGGTGATTCAGGTAGAGACTTTGCTTCTTTATATCCTGCTGATTGGTGGGCTGCATCGACAAAACCTCCGAGTGTAGTTGTCGTACAATTTTGAATTGGATGCTGCTGACGAAGCCATCCGAAGTCGTGGCATGGCACTTGCTACTGCGGCCAAAGAGGAACCCCTCTCCAGGGGGAACACGGATAAAACATGAGGGGATCGTTGTCTCGTCACTACTTCTTAGCATCGCCCATATCGGTGTTTCCTCACCAGCGGCATTCACGTTAGAAACCATGGAGGCAATGAAATCGCTCTGTACAGTTGACTCTGGTGCGGAAGAAACTGGTGGGAAGTTAGTCAAGGGCGGCTGTGGATGCAACGATTGCTGCTGCTGCTGCTGCTGCTGATATGACAGCTGCTCGGGATACTGTTGGTGATTCAATTCCGCCTGATCCTTCGACAGTGCAATCTCGCCGTGGGCATCTACACCGTTCATGCTTGTGCTCGACGGGCATTCTTGTGGCGGTGGGCTGACAAGTGGCGTCACCATCACGGCTTTCAAGTTCTTAGTACCCCGACTATTCAACGGCGTGTGTGGTGGGTGACCCCTACTCTCCCTATCGCTTTGCCCACGGCGCTTGCTGCTACTGTCACGAGTGTCATGGTGCTCACCATTACTGGCCTTGCGCGTGCCGGGAAAATCAGTTTCCGTGACATTCACTTTTCCCATATTGACATGGAGAGGCGAATGTCGTTGGCTATTGTAAATAGACGTCTGCAGCGACAGTGGGGTCGGTGTGAGTCCAACAGCAGTGCGTGTGGAGAACTGCGGTTGTTTAAAGAGCCCGTCTGACACCGCGGCCTCTGCACCGGGACTGTCGTCATTATTACCAATAATATTCATGGTACTATAGCAGACGTTTTGTTGTTCGACCTCAGTTTCTGCTTTCTCCACCGCATTTATTGTCTGTCGTCCTTCTGGAAACGACGGTGACTCGTGTGGCTGTCGGTCCATTTCCCTGTCGGCTCCGTGCAGCGGTGCAATCGTCCCGTCGGTACCATTTGCACCCTTCTGCACTGCAGAAGAGGCGGGCAACATCTCCCTCGGATCGGGGCGTGGTGGTTCATCCAACGCTGCACGACGCTCAGACAGAACCCCACCAGGGGCGTGCATGAAGTCATTCTCTGGCTTTACACACGGCCCCACAGTGGCACTGTCAAAAGGCATGCATACTTCGTCGTGTATCACAAACAGCAGAGGCACCCCCGCAAAGACCCATGCAGAGACGCTTTCCTGCATACTCGCCAACGCAGAAGAGCAACACCCGACTCTCTCCTTGGCAGGGTCGCCACAATTTTTGAGCAGACTTTCAGGTATGCATTGAGGCAAAAATGACGCTGTGTTTGCAGCCACTTCGCCCTTACCAGACCCGCGACAAAAACCCCTGGAGTCAAGTGAAGAGCTTAACGCCCGGCGACTATCAGAGGCGTTACGTCTCTCCCCTTTCCACGGTGAACGCTGCAAGGGCCTCGCAAGTCCGGTCACACTGCCTTCCAAGGCCGCACCCTCGTCTTCAACAAAGTCCCCAGTAAGCGGTTTAAATGTCACAGACAGAGAGAGCGATGGACTGGACGGTATGTGAAGAATCGCCGGAATGGGTGGCTCCAACCGCGTCCCTCGTCTTCCCTCGTGTTCCACCTCCCCTGCGCCAGCCTCCTTTATATCGCAGCAGCTACTCACCAGCCCCGAGAAGTTTGGAATGGGGCTCGCGTGAGCCGGCAATCCCACCACGTCGTACGCCAGTCGCCCTGTTTGCCGCTCCGCCTCACGACTCCAGTGCAGCACGCAGCCTGTCACAGGATGCACTAAAAGACACGGCCATGGCATCCAGTCCAGCACACAGTGGAGACGCGGCTGGCAAAGAACGAGAAAGCAGTTCGTGAAATCGTCTCGGCTTCCTTTCCACACATCAAGCGAGAGTGAAAAATATTCGGCTTCTCCGGGAACATGCTCCACGGGTAAAAGGTCATTTTGATCACCGCCCATGCCGTTTTTCGCAGGGCGTTCCTTCCTCTCACTCAATGATGGGGCCACTGTTGAGGATGGGTGGCGTGGACGACGTCCTCGGATCAAAATACGCCGCACCGTCGCATCTTCACCCATGCGCATTGGAGATTGTTCGCCCCCTGCCGTTGAATACTCCGCCCCGTCAGAGTCTATAAACGCATCCGCATTTGTCCCCAGTTCCGTATGTGAAGATCGTCCATCACCAATCCTACTACACGAGTATCGATCCTCCCACTCCTCTTCGTCCTTTCCCAAAATAACGCTATCATTATGAAGAAAAGCAACCTTTTGGATGGTTTCTTTCAATGCAGCCACGTTCCCCACCTCTAATTCCTTCAAAACAGACATAAACTTCTGACCCACAAGATATCTAACCGTTAGCCCGACATGAGCCGCAAAACTCTCACTTGCGCCAAGAATGACGCCTCCACCTGAACTAAGAAGAAGATACGTTGCTCGAAGATCCCCAGCTGGGGCCATACTCTCTGTCCCATGCTGCATCACATCTAATCGAGGGGGTTCATTGAACTGAGCACCGTTTCCGATAGAGGGAGTTCCCCACGGAACTTGCGTTCGGGATGTGGGAACCGACAAAAAAAGATGAGGGCGTTCTTCGGAGGAAGACACCGGCACTCCCCGGCCGTATAAGACACCTACGCCGTCCCCCTCGTGTCCCACCGCATGAGTTGAAGATGGCAACGCTTCCACCCTGTTGGATGCATCACAAACCCCGTCCCCGGACGCATGAGGAATGGAGCTGGGACTGTCGCCACTCATAGAGAGCAGACCTGTGCTCCATCGCCGTCGACAGCGTTCCCGAAATCGTTTTACGGCAACGACGGGGATGCATATAAGGGAAATCAGAAGCCACAGCAACGAGGCCACTATGGTTCCAAGATCCAGGGATTTGAAGTGCGCCATCAGCACCCCAAAGTGAATAAGTCCAACAGTAATTCCGGCGGCTAAGGGGATGTTAAAGGCAAAAACAAACCAAAAGTGCAGAAGGTTCACTTTCCATACATTCACCACGGGGTATATGTTTACTACTTTGAAGCTGCCGTCATTACGTGACACAATGTTTTGTGCAATCCCCACGTTTGTCGCCATCACGTGTGGGGAGAGGATCACAAGGAGGCCTAAAATACACAACTCCATCGCCGGAAGAGCCTCATGCCACCACACCCAGCATGAAGAAGCAGCTGAACAGCTTGCAATGGCACCGTGAGAAACTAACTGCACGCGTCGTGGGTGCCCCCTTCCCTGTTGTTGGTACGGGCTGCCAGTATTTCTATGGTTCTCTAAAGAAACACTGCCGTCGTCTTGAAGAATAGCCTGATCCACTGTAGCCTCATCACGCAACGCCACCAATAAAGAATTCTTGCGGGACGACCACCAATACAACGTCGCAGACAATATCCCAACTAAAAACGAAGCCGACATAAAGATAAACTGCCCCGCATTCGTGGACCACGGCATAAACAGAAACACCGCCGTAAAGAGACCTGCCGTGGCAAGAAAAAACCATCCTGGCACAACGATCGTACCACTAAGAAGAACACTCAACGAAGCGGATGCCGTCATCTCTCTACGCACGCCGCTCATTGAAGAAGTGAAAAACTAGACAAAAAAAAAAAAAGGGGGAGGGAAAAAAATAAATAAATAAATAAATACTGTTTTATTTATGCTTTGATTACTCGTGTGTTTCTTTTTCCACTCGTCGTTCCCACCCCCTAAGCATCTGAGTAGGGAATTGATGTACGGTACCATTAAAAAGAAAGAAAAAAAAAGAATAGAAATGCAGCACAGTGGTAATAAATAACAGTCACTCAAAGCATACACGATTACACATATGCATACAGAAATAAATAGACATTTACACGCAACATCCCGCGTCTGATTTCTTCCCTCTACCTGTTTTACGCATTCATGCTGCATGCGTGTATATTTGTAATTATTGCATGTAATTACTTATGCATTTAAGTAATGTATGCGTGTAATTATGTGTTTTTGCGTGACCAGCTGCGTAATTTAATGGCACAATGGAATATATACCTAACGGCTCCTCTTAAGAGGCCACAATGCCCTCTACTGTTCTTCCATACTCACACAAAATGTCCGGTACCGGAAGAAGAAAATTTGATGTTTTTGACCGTCAAAAGGTCAAAAAAGAAAAAAAAAAAAAGAGAAAAAGTCCAAACAACAGACGTCCCAGTCAAGCGGGTCATACAAACAACATGGAAAATATATACTTATGTTAGTTGTTTACTTATTTGTTTATTCTCTTTTATTTTGTTTCCACAGAGGCGTTCTAACCTTTTTTTTTTTTTTCTTTTCTTTTCTTCTTCCTTCGCTCGCATTATTTCGTGTCTCTTCAGATCTCACTCGCCTCAAAGGTCGTTGAATTGCTCTTCATCCTCTGCCTCCTCATCCTCCTCATCTCGCGGCGCATGTTTGTCGGCGGCGGGCGCCTCGTCCTCCTGCATGTCATCATCTTGATTATTGAGTGACTTGACACGCCTCATCAACTCCTTCACGCGATCCTTCGCAGACACCCCCCTGAGAGATTCCAAACTAAGGGGGTTTTCCCTTCCTCTTCCCTGCTGCCGCTCACGAACCCGGCGCAATGTTCCAAGCACACGCTCCTGGTGCTGCTTCAACTCATTCACTGTGAGGATACCGAGGGTGGCGTCATCCGCATCGTCGTCAACAACCGCCTTGTCCTTTTGAGCGCCGCCCTGCTTCTTTGCCCCCGCACTAACACTGGCACGAGAAGGGTTTGTGGGGCAGTGTTCATAGTCGGAGAGAAGATGTATTGACAAAGAAAGTGGGGCCGTGACGATTCCCTGTGGCACCTCCGATATGAACGGCTCCATTCGATCCAAATGGACCATCATGCGAAGAGGGTGTGACTCCTTGAGCTGCTTTAACTTCCACTGTCGTCCCTTTCGGAGATACGCAGCAGCGCCTGGGCGAAAAAGAAGAATGACGGGCGTCTTCGGATCACTACGTGTCCCGCGCATCATGCGGCCTTTCCTTATCATTTTCTCCACGCTGGTCAGTAAATCGGGCCGGCCACTGGCCCCAGCATCCTCGCCGACGCCACTGCTCTCAAAGACATAGGCGAATGGGTACAAGTCAAAATATGATCGGGAGTCCTGAATGTCCGCCACCGCCACACGGGCCACCGGCAGCTGTTCGCCCGCAGTTTGTCGTTCTTCCTGCTTAGCTTGCAATTTGGTCACCGCTGGAAAAATGCTTTCTCGAATAAAATCGCTCGAGAATCCTTTCATTTTCTCAGATGAAACATTTACGAATACGACGCACCACCAATGCTTTTTCTCCTCCATCAGAAGTTCCTCCAGTTGCTGGGCGGTGGGAACAAAAAACAGCATCTCCCATGCGGTTGGCGATAACTCGATAGCTGATGACGACCGCACCATTTCCTCCATATGCGTCATGGGAAAGTCATACGGCGTCGCGGTGGTTTCTGACGCGGCAGTAGATAAGATCTGTAACGATAATAACAGTATTGAGGCCCACAGTGTGGCCAACAGAGAAAATGTAAAAGAGAATGATGAGGGCTCTCGCTGCATAGATGTGCGTGAATGAAACACGGCGTAATAGTTGTCAAACACTTCTCCCTCGCCGTCCAACTCCCAGAGATACAAATGCATATTGAAGAAAAAGAGAAAGAGAACGCAAGAGAGAAGAAAAAGAATAGAGGAGGAGACACAACGGATGCGTGTTGCATGCATGCATAAAACGAGAAAAAGGGGTAAGTAACAAAAAAAAAAGAAGGGGGGGGAGGGAAGGGAAGAGGAAAGGGAATGTGTTGAAACAGAAATAAAGAAATAAAATAAAAATAAAAAATAAAAATAAAAATAAAAATAAAAAAATAAAAATAAAAATAAAAATAAGAGGAGGGGACATCCTGCTCATCATTAATCACAGATACGTTATCTTTTTTTTTTTTTTTTTTTTCGTTTCTCTTCGTTTTCGCCCCTCTACTACTATGCCTATATTTCAAAAATAGTACGAATATCGTTACTCTGCCCCCTCACCCTCTCCGTTCCCGGTACCAAAAGATGTGAGGTAAAAGAGAGAGAGAGAGAGGGAGAGGGAGAGGGAGAGGGAGAGTAAGAGGGCCCCTTAAACTAATTAATTAACTCCTCTACAAACTGATGATAAATAACGCACATGTTTGCGGCAGACTTCACTTTAAATATATATTCATATTTATTCATATTTATTTATTTATTTAATTTATTTAATTTATTTATTTAATTTATATATTTGCCTGCAGTCACGTTCCTTCGGACTGCTGCATATTTCGCAGGTACCGACTCACCTCATTAAGCCTCCGCTGGTGCTCTTGCTCCATGGCGTGAAATCGCACCATTCGCTCATCCTTTTCTGTCCCGCGCCCCTCCTCCACACGAATCATTCTCCGCAGGAGTTCAACACGATGCATGCGTTCCTCAAGGTGACCAATGAGGAGATTCGTAGGATGCTCGTGGAGCTGCTGCGTCGCGTGTTCGCCATGGTATCGTATGTACTCCATCAGCAGCAGATGATTCTCTCCATCCTCATTCCCACCGTTGGCCTGCTGGAACGCCTTCTGCCAAGAAGCGCCGTGGGCAGGCACCGTGTCACGCTCGCGGCTAATTTGCCGTTCACGCAAAACATTCTTCACACGCTTCAGCACTTCGTCGCTCCGGCGTGCCTCCTTCAAGATGGCGGCCTCACGTGTTTCGTGCAACAATCGCAACTTGGCGGCCATAGGGAACACGTATTCAAAATCAATCTCTTGCTCGGTTTTTTGCTTCAGGTCCGTGTAGTGAATGGGGGCGTTGAATACTTTGTCGTCGGCCAGATTTTCAACGTCGTATATATCCAAAAGCGCCTCCCTGTGACTTTCATCGGGGATCTCAAGACGCCTCCATGAACGACGACGGCCCCTCTCCGCGCCCACCTGACGACGCTCCTTCAAAGTTTCCAGACTCATCTGCTGCAGCTCCGTTGTGACAAACTCCAAAAGCTCCTGAGCCTCGTCTGGGCCCTTAATGCAGCCGCAGCCTTCCTGTCCATCCAAAGAGATAAGGCTCGCATGTACAGACGAGCACGGCGCGTCACTGCGACAGTGAAGAAAAATGTGCGGAAGAAAAACTGGAGTTTTTGTAGCCGGGTAAAACAAGATCGGTGGGAGCTCACTCAACAGTGGCCGAGTCGTGGGTTCCGCTGTCTCTTCACTCTGGCGCATTTTTTCCAAAACGGTGGGGTGAAAATGGTGCGCGTTGCGGGGGGATCCTTTCGGCGCCAAGAATTTTTGGAGAAGCTCCGCCTCGGGCGAATGCGCCACAAAATCTCCAGCCCCTCTATTCTCCACGTCGCCGTCCTCTGGCATTTCGGAAGCAGACGCCAAGAAATCATCGTTGTCGGCATCGGTCTCATTCTCCAAGTAAGACGCTCTGTAGGTACCGGGGCCCAATGGGCTCCGCAGCGACCCTGGCACTCTGTGCGCCGCACTGCCCCGGTCATTTCCGCCCCGAAGACGCCGTATTTCACCACCTGCACGGAACGCGTCCACCACGAATACCCGAAGTCTGTGCTCCGATAAAAGAGCTGCCACATCCCCCTCTTCTTCCTCATTTTCATCTGGGTGAGCTTTGGTGGCCGATTCCTTTAGCAGCTGGTTGACGGCGTCACCAAAATCCGCCAGCAGCACAAGCAGCTGCTCGTAATCGTACCGTGGAAACAAATGCGGTGCATACAAGAGTACCAGGGCGCTTCCGTCACCCTCCGTCTGCATTTGTTCGCAAATGGCCCCCGCCTGTTGGAGGGGGATGGTTCTGAAGGAAGGCACCCTCGCCGCCGTCTTCCCACTCATCTGCAGCTTCTTCAGCAGTTCCCGCAGTGAGAGAGGCGAGGCATCGTTGTAATGCCCAATGTCCTCGTCCCTCGAAGCCGCACATGACGCCGTTTTCATACCGGCAAACAACAGGGCGCCACCCACAAGAATTGCGTAGAAAAGAACGACACAACACCGCATCGCGATAAATAAATAAATAAATAACAACTGTGCGAAAGAAACAGGAAAAAATAAATAAATAAATAAATAAAAATATACTACGATACAATTAAATAAATGGATAACAAAATTGAATAAGGCAACTTTTAGCAGTAGTGGTAGTGAACCTCCGCTCTAAACAACGCTGAAGAATTATGTTTTCCCCCAACCTTTGTTATAAATTCGCTTTAATACGCTCCACCCGCTGTTGTTGTTGTTGTTTTTGTTGTTGTTGATGTTGTTGATGTTGATGTTGTTGATGTTGATGTTGTTCGGGATACTACAGAAAGAAAAAAAAAATCAAGGGAAAGCCGCGGGCAGTGCACTGAGAAAAGTCATTTTGGTGAATTGGGAGGGGGAAAGGGGGAAATGTCAGAAAAACAAACATCACAAGACCCCAACACATAAACCGCCAAAAAAAAAAAAAAAAAGTCGACACAACATCGCTGGTCGTACCCGCAATAGACAGTCATCCATGGCCAAATGGATAAGTGCAATATAAATCCAATTGTGGGACCTCCATTCATTCGCCCTTCCTTTGCTTCTAAAAATAAAATTAAAATTAAAAAGGGTGATCCCCCATCGTCACCCATCTCTATTATTGCCCCTTCACACCGTATTCGTGATTCAAAATAAGCCGTTCACCATTTTGTATAAACGTTCTTTTTTTTTTTTTTTTTTTTTTATTATACCCACTTTTGTTCTTCCTTGCCTTGTCACTCCCTATAAATAAATAAATATATATATAGCCTTCCCTTCCATTTCCTCTTCACACATACACAGAGAAGACTCTTGTTACTACTGATTCCCCTTACTGCTATCATAATCATCATAATCATCAGCATTCAGCCGCAAGGAGTATAACCCCGTATCTCCCCGAGACCCTCCAGGTGGGATCCGTGCGGTCCAACTCATTCTGCCGCGCTGTCTTCACACCGATGCTTAGTTCGCTCTTTATCGTGCGTATGGCGCACACCGGCACGGCGTGTACTGGCCAGTAAGATGACAGAATTCGCTGGAAGCTGATGACCTCATCCGTCTCTTCTTCTCCCTCTTGAGGATGGCGGCCACTTTCTACGCGTGGTGTGTCGGCAAGCAGCAGCTTCGACACCGCGGAAGCCTCCCGTTCATCCGGGGAAAGTGTTGAAAGAAATCCGCGGCGGTCCCAGTGGCGGTCGCCGACGAGACGACGAAAGTTAAGATCGCCCTTGAAAATAACAAGCGCCGAGTGGGCGGTATAGCGTGAGCAGTCAGAATACGAAAATGATGATGACTGCCGCTCCTCTTGCCTTTTCCGCAACTCCGCCTCCGACAACACCCGCCGAGTGTAAAAAAATCTATTGCATACGTGTGGTGGTAATTCCCGGTACTCGGACGGCTGCGTCCACACGGCGTCGGCGTCTATGCGCAGCCTGCCGTTGCTAAGAGCCTCATGTACCAAACGCACAAACGGCATCAGCCTTGTCGCCAGCGCAGGCTCCTGCCGCGCGCAGTCCTCCATTTCCTGAATGAGGAGCGCAATGTCCGGCGGGGTCACATCCGAAACGTAGTACGGCATGCTCTTCACATGCAAAGTCACATGCAGCGAGGGGTGGTGTTGCAGCACCCACAGGCTGAAGATGATGTCCGCCACACATTCTACCCCAAAATTGTCCATCACAATGTCAATTGTGTGAGGAATCGTCACGGTTTCATTTGGCTCCGTTTGTACAATAAGACATACCAGCCGCGCCAACTTCTCCAACTGATTGCCGACAATGAGATCATCCTGCCCCATCACCGCCCTTGCCTCTGCCACGCGCAAGGCATTCAAATCGATCTGTGCTGGCCCCTCAGTTCCTTCCATCGCCCCCTCGTCACCCCTCCCAGCTTTGTCTCCAGGCCCCGCTTCGCCCTTGGAATGGCTCTCTCGTAGCTGTTCCAGCGTGAACATGGAAAGATCGAGGCCATTGCCCCACAGCATCCACCGCAGCAGCACAGGAACAAAGCTGCCATCCGCCTCCCAGGGCACACATGCGAGCATGGGGCATATTTTAACCTTCAAAAAGTTGTGAAGCACATCACGCTTCTCACGCATAAAAAAATCGCGATAGGGTTGAAAATATCCATGCAGCGGCGCAATACAATCACCAGCGGCGATGTCACGGTAGCTGATTCTGCCTTCCTGTACCACAACGCCGTCTGACGCAAACGTAGATCCATCCTTGGCAAGGAAAGACGGGTCAAATGACTGGAACGGTGTGGCGCCCCCTGCCGCCATAACCGCGTGCGTCGCAAAGGGGCAGTCATGTGTACCAATGGGACTACATATTGCGTACGGCGTGACGAGATTTGGGACCCATTCGTCTGCTGCAGTCTCCCCGTTCTTGCATCCGCCACCCTCCGCGAGCATCATGTACTGTACAAAGAGGTGATAAAAGTAAATCTCACCCTGCAGCCACGGTATCTGGCCCCATCGAGGGGCAATAACAGCATCATTCACCTCTTGTTTCTGCCGCTGCCACTGCTCGTTTAACATGTGCACATCCGTGTCAAACTCCGGTAAAAAGGCGTAGGCCTGTAACCAAGGCGGTACAAACTGTTGTCCGGGAAGTGGTGCCACCGCCGCATTATTCCGCGTTGCCTCAACAAGAGCACGAAGCAGGCGCCTTCCCTCCGCTGTGGTGTGCTCCTCGTTGTCCTTCAGCGTCCGCTCAATTACCTCTGGAATGCGCTGCCGCAACGTCACTGTGCGGAACTCCCGCGGACCCGCGTCACGGAGGCGAACGAGGGTCGGCAGACGTTCGGCAGAATTCATTGCGCGCTTAAAACTCTGCAACAACTCGCTGGCATTCAACCACAAGTCGATCCTGCAGCAACCCCCGACTGCACTCTGCTCGTCCGACAAAAGGCGATGAATCGGAAATCCACGGCGTGCAAACAAATAATCTCTCGGCCTCAACAGATTGAGCACCGGGCAAAAATCATTTGCGCCATCACCAATAAAAATAACAGTTGGATCAACGAGACGACTGGCGTGCAACAGACGGGCGATGATGCGGCTCTTGCACATGTTGGGGCGTTCACTTAAATTGCAGCAGGGGCAATTATGGCCCGCCGACTCGTACCAACCGATACGACAGCGACGCAACTCTCCGCCGTCAATTACATCGTGAAACGAATTACTGTGAATCTGCGAGATTGCGTGCCGAGCGAAGGGAATATGACGCTCAATGACCTTCTCAATAAACAGCAGGTTGGCATCACTCGCAATGGCAATCTCAACATGCACAGCATTGGCGACCGCCTCAACTGATGCACTCTTCTGCTGCTGCTGCTGAAGAAAAAGAAGGAAACGAAATACATCAGGCATTCCATCGTCCATGATGACACTCTTTTCCACGGCGTCTCCAATTTGCTCCCTTGAAAAGGGCGCCAAAACTGTATCCACAAGGTTCGTAGATTGCATTGGCTTCTCCGCCCCCATCAATGAGCGCCGGAACTCGCCACGACCCAAATACTCCGGCACCACCTCGTCTGTGTTACAGTCGACAACCGTGTGGTCCAAGTCAAACACAACAAGAAACGACTGACGTCCACTGCAACCCGCAGAAACGGACATCCTCACAAAACAAAGCCTCGAGATTTCACAACTAAACAAAAAAAAGAAAAAAGAAAAAAAGGGATTTAACGTAAAGTTTAGCAGAAGATTTAAAAAATAATAATAATAATTGGAATGAAAACAATTTTCCCTTTCAAATAAGTGGTGACTCCCGCGATAGTAAATGCGGGTGCCTTTGAGGCGGCAACTGTCCAAAGAGAACTCAGTGACACGCCCAGTTAAAAAATCCAAAATACGCTGCATGTTTGCTGCAGAGTGGCTGAAGAGCAGTTTGACCTCTCACAGGAGCCAATTTTGACTTTCGCCCAGCCACGCGCCATCCGTCCACAACTTCTCCGCCTGGAAACACTTTGCAGCGCAATTCATTCCCTTGGAATAAATTTTCACTGACCTAATCGTTTACTTTATGCTTGGTTGATTGGTTTATTTGCGGTTGGCGCAACCCTCATTTTCGCCTACGAATAGTGGGAAAATCATTGGCTTTGAAAAAGAAGCAGAAAAAACAAAAAAAAAAAGGGCAAAGTTGAAAAAAAATGCAAAGCGGCAGAGTCCTCTCAAGCCCCAAAAAAATAAAAATAAAAAAATATACAGAAGAGAAAAAAAAATGGCATTATGCACCTGTGTGTGCGCGCGCACATTTATTCTTGGTAAGGGCAACAAAAAATTTCCGACAGGCATAGAGAGAGAAGGCTTCGGATTGGGGAGAACTTCAGGCCTTTACGCTCCCATTCGTCTCACGCCACAGTTTGGCCCGCATTTGTGACCACGCTGCAGCGGAGCGGTGGTAGTAACAGCGGGCCGCGTGCCAACCGGCATGTATGACACAAGAAAATGCCCTCAGCGGGTTCTCGCTGCGCAGGACAAATGCATCCCTGGTGAAACTGCTGCAGACATGCGGCGCACTCCAACACCCCATCGACCTCACGCAAATTAGGAATGCACGGAACAGTTTCCAGCAGTTCTTTTACTTCCCGGGACATATTTGCGGTTGCATCGGAGTGATGCGTACTCTTCTCCTCCTCCTCTTCCCTTCTAGATTCGTCTCTCAGCAGTCGTAAGAGTGCATCCTCGTTTTTTGACCCACCAATCAACGCCGCACGGCATGCGGGAAGGGGATATCCACCTTCAATATCAACCACCAACTCCCGAAGTGTGGTTAAACAGGTGGAATGAGTGCAAAGAGATGCGTAACCGCTCCTTTTAGTGGTGTTTGCAGGGATTATTCTCGTCGAGGGATGGGACTGAGATGAGACCTCACGACCCGACTGGTCGCGTACTTTCTGTTCCAGTCGAACTGAAAGACAGCGCAAGAGTTCATCACAAAAGGAACCGTTCGCTGAGGATGCTGAAAACCCCACGCTCTTCATCTCTTCCCAGGAATGAATGGGCTGACCGTCATCTCGGTTTTCCGCCTCATGCGTTAATGCAGACAGCCGTAGAATGGGCTTTTCCCGCACGAGAGTATCACAGACGCTACAGCACGGTTCGCCCTGCGAAACCCTCACGACGGTGACGCAGTAGCGGGTCACCTTCAGGTGTGCAGGTACATCATCCAATTCGGTCCCAACCACATGTAGCCATAGGCCAGCCACCAGCAGACGTCTCCACAGCTGCTGCGATGTGACCATTTGGAGGGGCACCGGCATGAGAGAAGTTGGACGTGCCCGCAGTGGATGCAAAAAATGTCTTGGGGAACGCAACGATCCGCCAAATCCCACCCTTGCGCCCTGGCTGGCAATTAAGTAGGCGGCCCCAAGCTGACTTGCGGGGAGCGAATGATTGTGCGCATCATGAAACATGTCGGCGTTGAATTCCTCCATGGACGCCAAAGAAGAATACAACAAGGGATTTCGTAGGCAACGCTGTAGTCTGTCGAAAAACAAAGCGGAACAAGTTGCCTCAACTCTATCGGCGACTGCATTCAAACTCACGGAGGAAAAAAAACACTGAGGTATTGTTGCGGGAGGAGCGGCTCCGAAGGTCCAAGACGACGAGGACGGCAAAGACAATGCGGGAGGGAATAAGAGGGAATAGTCGCCCATATCGTCCTCCCCCTCCTCTTCGGTGGGCAAGCCAAAACCACCATTGTAATTATTATGACTGCTGTTACTGAGACCATCGCCCTCCGGGATACCACGTTTGCCCTTCCGTGGGCCACACAAAGCCCTCTTCATCCTTTTGGCAGAAGACTCCTCCTTCTTCTCAATCAGTTTCACGCCGCCTAGTTTCTTCTCGTATGCGGCAACAACGGCGTAGAATTTCTTGGATTTCGCTATGTTCAGCTGGAAGTAGTCAAACGCCAACCGAATGGCAAGTTCGGGTTCCAACTTCGTCCCAGGGGTGTTTTCCTCCTCCCGTGGATGCTTCCTTGTCCTGCCATGAGTCCATGATGCACCCATCACAGAAATGCTGCTACTCTTTGCCGGTGGCGATGCGTCTTCTGCGCCCAATGCAAGCTGAAGGTGAGAGCTGCGGGCAATGAATTGTTCCACCTCCTTCAGGCGCACCGTAACAAGAACAGGAGTCCCAAAGCGTAACTCGGGCGATCGTGGACGCAGCGCACGGCTCCAGGTAGTCAAAACCGCCCAAAGCGATGGCTGACGGGAGGAAACAGCCGCTAACACGCAGTACGCCGCGTCTTCCGTTTGATCCAACGCAATCTTCTCTTGCTTTGCTCGACAAAGACGATACATCAAAATTGCCCGCTGCCGCAGCTCCTCCGCCACAGCGCTAAGCAGACGCTGCTGTTCTGTCCGCAACATCCGATTTTCTCCACTGTACAGAAGATGCTGGACGATGGCCGCACATCGCCCTCGCACGACATCATCCTCCATTTATCCACCCTTTGCCCCTCTTCACCTCTTGATGCGGTGTCGCGGGTGTGGCTGCCCTAAGATCAAAGGCATGTCACAAGAAGAGTAAACAAAAATGACACGTTATGAAAACAATAAAAAAAAAAAAAAAAACAGCTTGTGATGGTTGCACGGAAGTTGAGAAAGCGACAGGGGATCCATCGCGCTCATATCTATTGGGTTCACCTTTCACTTCACCCGCCCCTCCCCTCCCTCCCTTTGCCTACCCGTACGTCGTCTAACCGTGCACGCGTCAGAGTGAGCAAGGCGGAGAAGAAGAAGAAGAAAACAGCAGATGGTGGAAAAATCGGGAAAAAAAGAAAAAGAAATGGAAAAGCGTAATGATGTAAAAAGCTGTGAAAACCTTCAGTGTGTGCAGTGAAGTGTACACGCAAATCCGCCCAACAGTACGACAAAAAAAACAATTCAAAAAAAAAAAAAAAGCCCAATGGACATATTCTGAGCAAAGGAGGTACCACACCCTCCGCCGTTAATGCGTCATTGGTGGCCTCTTCCTGTTATTCCTCTTGTATCTCTGATGCTGCCACTGTACTGAGGACCAGAGGGATGGAGGATGCAAGCAAACCAAAAGGAAAAAACCAACACTATGAAATGGGCTGGGGTGGAGAAAGATACAAAGAAAAATCAACACCATCATCATCATCATGAAGGCAGCTCAAAGAAAGATCCCCTTTCTGTTTGCTTGCCGCTCTTCCCAAATATAAAAGGAAGCAAAAAACACAAAATAATGCTCGAAACGCAAATAAATGAGGCGCAGAAGACAGTAGAAAACCAATTCTCGTGTTATTCCCCTCCTCCTCTTCCTACTTTTATTCTGTTTTTATTATTTGTGTGCGTGTGTTTGTTTTTAAGCCGTTTTCCACCCGCATTTCACTCATACCTCTCACTCACTCTATGTGTTTGTTTTTGTTTCCTCTTTTTTTTTTTTCGGCTTTTGTTTTCGCTTCCCACGTGTTTACATCCTCTTTGAACTACATTACCAACACATCCACCACAGTCGTGCCCCGGTAGAGAAAAAATACGGACCTTCAATTGCCTTCACATTCTCTCCATATTTTAGTTTCCTTCTGTTTTGTTTTGTTTTGTTTTTCCTTCGCATGCATTATTTCTTTGTGTTTAATTCTCAGCTTTCGTCGCTTCTTAATTGCTGTTGTCGCTCTTCTTCCTCTACAAGTCTTTGGAAAAGACTTCGTTAATATTCCCCCCTCAGTGCCTTCAATACATGAGTTTGGCGCCTTCACTGGTCGCCTGAGGAGCAGCAGCACCAGCAGCGGCCTGGCTGCTCCCGTCACCCCACGTGGACGCGTCCCTATTTTTTCCACGATCTGCTGGCGGCACGGACGCCCCCGCGCCGGCGGCATTTGGCCCCCTGACGCCCCGACCGAGCGCCTTGCCGCTGGGTGTGCTCCGTGAACTCTTGAGCATCTCCGATTGCTGGAAGTCGTAGCGCAGCTTCTCAAGGACCTCGAGATGGTGGTTCACCCAGCCATCGTTGGCAATACGGGACCGTAAAGCGCGAGGTGTCGTTTTTTCCTCTTGTTCCTGGCGGCAGCGGGAACGAGGTCGCCCGACCTTGCTACTCTGAGGAATGCCGGGCTCTTTCTCGTCCACAAGTTCACTGGAGCGAATAAAAAACCGAGGGGATGGCACGCCGTCATCTGAACCGGGACGGTGCGCCCCATTGAGCAAACGATTATTCGGGGTTCCCGTTTTTGCACTGGCACCGTCACCACGCTGCCGTCTGTTCGGCGTTTCCCGGGAAGCTTCCAGTGAATTTGGTTCAGTGCGGCCATTATGCATGCTTACCGCCCGTGTACTGCCATCACGCTGTAATAGCGGGCTGTGTGCACCAAAAACCGGTGCTCTAGGTTCTTTCTTTGCCGGTGTTGGTGATTTTGCCGGTTGCTTTGCAGAAAGGGATTTATCGGGTGACATGGAAAGGTTCATAGCCCCCTCGGGAGGCGCCATGTACAACAAGGGGTTGTAAAATGGCGATTTGTCCTTCGGTGTGGTGCCTAACAAGTGACCGGTCACCGGACTGAGACCCAAAGCCGAATCCGAGCTCATTTTTAATTCCTTCGCACTAATTGAAGTAACAGAGTTTTGCAAATGCCTCGGTGTGGCGCCCTGTGTTGTACTATTCGTCGAATGCGGCGTTGACATTTTATTCCAGGCGTTGGTGGTTGCCGGGCTGCCTCGTGACGGCATTGGGGTAGAACTGGACGTCGCTCGCGGGGGCGTTTTGTAGCAAGAAGCAAGAAGCAAGGAGGAGTTTTCTTCTTTCACGCGTGCAAGCGGGGAGATTTCTGGTGACAGCAGTATAGATGCCTGCCGTTGCCCCCGCGACGGTGTCATTTTTCGCGATTGCACCTGCGTAGGAGCAGTCGAGAAAGATCCACGTTTAACTGACATTGGTCTTTTAGATGATCTTTCTCTAACAGCAGGAACCTTTTCCCCGCCTGCCGTTGTCGCAGGAGCTGAAGAAACCTCTGTTCGAGAGGTCAAAGCACGGCCAACGGTTCCGGCCAAGATGCTCTTCCGTCGACACGCGGAGGACCTTGCGGTTGCAGCCGCGGTATTCGCACCCTCCTTGGCCAAGATGCTACTCACCCTCTTCCAGTTCAAGTGCAACAGAGACGGCGAACTCGGCAACACAACACCACGCCGTGACGATTTCTCCGACGTTACCTGAGAAGTCCACTGCTGCGTCCTCGGACCCGGTGATTGTTTGCCTTTGTCCGCCAAAACCGCCACAGAACGTGACGACAAGGTGGCAGTGGTGCCGGAAGCAGAAGCAGATCCCGCCGTTTCGCTCTTTGAAAAACGCAGAAGACCATAAAGGGGCCGTGTTCGATCAGAAGGTGCAGTCTCACTCTTTGCTGTTGTTGCCGGGCATCGAACGGGCTTTGGGCGCGGCTGCTTCGCTCCCGAGGACCAAGTGGACGCCGTCGCTGACAGTGGGGGTGAAGTTGTTCCCGGTATCGCTGGCGACCGAGCACCTGGCACATGCAACAGTGATCGCTTGAGGAGGTCAAGACCATCCTTTTTCGCTGGTAGTTCATCCAGACGTTCGGCTGTCAGTTCGTACAGTACAAGGAAACGTTCCAAATTCTTCTCCCGCTCGCTGAGTAGGCGCTCCCGCTCATTCAATTTTTCCGTGAATGCCTCGTTGTTCATGAGAAGCCGAGATGAAAAGCAACGATCTTTCGATTCTGTGGCCTTTGAGGAGCTGCTGTTCTGAAAAGCGGCGGCTGCAGCTGCGGCCGCAAGTTCTGCGTCACGTTCGTCGACAATGGCACGCAGAAACCAAAGGTGAGTGCGCAGCTGTACAGCCTGCAGCTGCGCAAAGCGGTGTGCTGGGGCCTCAGCCGCCAACATCCTGCTACCTGCCTCCTCCATGGTTGCCATACGCTCGGCAACAAAAATAAGCTCGGAGCAGCTGTTCATCCCCTTCGCCCCGCGCCGTCGCTTCATTTCCTCCACGGCCATCAAAATAATGCGGCCAACGGCGGCGGTGTCACGTCGCTGCGCCGCCGCCAATTCAGACGGATCTTTTGACTCCTCTACGAAGAGCGAACGCGGGAGGGTGGCAAACATAAAAAAGGCCTGGTGAGCGGGCGTTGCCTCAGTGATAAGCCAGCGGCGCTGATTTCCCTTCACCCATCCATTGAGACGCTGGCCGATCGAATTGGAGTCCCTTTCCCCCTCCTGCCACATTGTGTCACCGGCGAAGGCATCGTCGTCGTCATTGGGCAGCGCAAAGCAAAGAATGTCGTCTGCGGAAAGTTCACCTCGGTAGTGAAACCCAGACGCGTGCAAGACGGCTAGCGCTGAAACCAGCGAACCCAACAGACGCCATAATATATCGTCCCTCCATCGTGAGAACGGGTCCGCTTCATATGCCGTCATTTTTGTGGAGGCGCCTCCACCATCGGTGGTTACTGAACGGGGTAAATTATCATCCATGTACGCCGAAAGCGTGAGCCCAATTTTGCAGCGGTTGTGCACACTTAGTGCGTTGTGGACGGGCGAGACACACCCACAGACACCAGCTATATTGGCTATGGCAGTGACGCGTTCCATCAAAGTCCTTCGAAGTGCCCCCGGAAAAACGGTTCCGCCACTGCTACTAGTACTACTACCATGACTACCAAGGCGATTATTACCACCACCATCACCACCAATGCGCAAGAGACGTTGCATCGGGCACCAGTGGAAAAAACAATATGGCACAGTTCGTGACGATTGCAAAGGGGGTGAACCACCCCGTTTTCCGTCTGCAGCAGTTGCGGCCAGGAGCTCTTCGTCACCTGGCAACGATGATGATATGGAGGCCAAAGATGGCAAAGCAAAGGCAGCTGCCAGGAACGCCGTGGGCTCCAGTGGGTAAACTACATGAGAGAGAGAGTCCACATCCGATGCGTGGGAAGCCGTTCCAGTGGGGGTACCGCTATCTTTACAACGCGACTTCCTCAAAAGAAGCCAATCCACAGCGTGCTGCAGACGAGAGCACAGGCGACAGTACGATTCGCATTCTGCAAGAAATCTTTCGTGAAAATCGACTGAACCATTGATAGAAACTACACGCATAACACTCAACACCTTCTCATCGCCACCATCGTGAATACAGGACTGGGATGTGTGGATCGATCCAGAAAGTGCACGCATGAACGCCTCATGGGTGTCATGAGA